CTATTTTGAACACGAGATCCATATGTTGATTGTTCCGAATCAGATTGAGGTCTATAACCGGTTCTTCCTTTACTGTCTCTATACCATGCAGCAGAAGCTAAAATTGAAGTTGTCATTGCTTCATCTTCTTCTTGTTCCATTATTTTATTATCCTGTTGCTGATTTTCCTGTTTTTCTTGTTGTTTTAATTTTTGCCTTGGTTTTGGTTGTGGTTTTGAGATATTATGTCCATTCTGAAAAATCAATTACAATAATATTTTTATCAAAATAAACCATTTCTGATGTTTTTGAACTGCTAGAGGACGTAGTACATTTGGGAGGAAGTTTACTATTTATTGAAGATGATGGTGGAGACGTGTTGACGATACTCTTTTGTTGGGAGTTATTTATAGAATTGTTTTTGTTTTTCTGTTTTAAAGATGTTGAAGATAATCTGTGGGAAAAATATTTTGAAATGAGTGGCTTATTTGTCAGTCATTTTGAGAACAAAATTGACAATTAAAATTTTTTTGCCTTTGACAAAAATATGCATTTTCTTTAGAGATACATATTATCTAGTTAAAGGATCTATAAATATTTGTTTAAAAAATTTTCAGTCTTTGGACAATCTCAAAATTCCAAAAAATGAGAGCCTAAAGGAAAAACACCTCCCAGATTTATTTAAAAAAATATTTGAATTAAGAACCTCCTATTTAATGACTCTTCATTTCGGCCTTTATTGTCCAGAAGTTGTTGTTCTTTATATTCATCCAAGTCTTCCTCATTTTGTTCATTTTTCTTTCTCGTTGATGTACCACCATTTTTTAAAGATTCCCACGCTTCTTGAAGTGAATTGGCGCCGTTTTCATCAATTTTTTCGTTTCCATTGGTTGTTGAAGATTTTGAAAGTAAAGGCAATAATAGTGGAGGCCACCATTTTCTCTCAGGTGATGGTCTTCTTTGAGGGGAGGAAGAAGATGAGGAAGTCCCAGCCCTTCCAAAGAAGGAAGGTCTCCTTTTTAAAGGAGAAAGACGTCGTTGCCACTGTTGATTTTGATGAGTATTACCATTTTCTTGGTTCTGTTTTTGTTGTTCTTCTTGTTTTGATAAAGCTGATGGCATACTTAAAAGAAAAATTAAAAAAAATTTTTATATTTTAAAATTGCTTGGTGGGACAGATTCTTATAGGACTTAAAAATGATAGAAATATGACTAAAACATTGCTGATCATAAGCCGTTACATTTTTAATTTTTGATCCCACAAGTAATAAATAGAAAATAAAATGGGTGGATGTGTCAAAATGTGGACGTCATAAAGAATTAAAACACAATTTTTGAAAAAAATGACCAAAAAGTTCTAAAAATAAAAATACGTGCTCATGAGCAACAAAGTGCTATTTTAAAATCTAAAAATTAATATAAAAAAGACTAACCAATCCAATTCATCCCTCGCCATTGGAATATTATTAATAAATTCATTTCCTCCATGCCGTCTCCCATTATTCCTCATTTTTAGAATGCGGCTCATTCCACAAACATCCAACAGCTTTTCTTGCAAAACCGTTTATCCAACAAGGAAGGATGGCAAAAGCTGTAGTAAAATAGAATATTGAGGACAAAAAGTAGTTGTAGTAGTAATAATAGAATGTGGACAAATAAAGCATTAAACCGAGCCTGAAAAATGTAAAAGGGAAAAAATAATATTTTCTTAAAACAAAGGAGGTAAATAAATAAACAAACAGAAAATGTGAAAAATAAACAAGCTTCTAATAAAAAACTTTCTAATAAAAAAACCTCTAATAAAAAAACTTGAAAAGTAAGCCTAACAAAAAATTAAACAAATTTTCTTCCCCAGAAAGAGATAATGTAAAATGGAGAGATTTTCTCTGCCTGTCGTCTAATTTGTTAGAGAAAAACTTTTTCCTCATTTAAAAATAAACGTTAAAAAACGCCTTAATTAAAAAATTTATCAGGAATTGTGTAGTATTTAACAATTCATATTCCCAGCAGATAAAACATGTAGCAGATGGTTATAGAGGTAGTGACGGCCGCCTTTGGGGGGACACTAAACAATGACAACTGGCAGATCGGGATTAGTAAAATATTGATTATGAGGGGACCCACCTTGTTAACGCGAATGGATTAGTTTTAAATGAGTTCTCGGAGCAATTAGAAGTACAGAGGTGTGCGCCTAATCTTCAGATCATCCTTCAGACCATAGAATCTCTACAATAAATTTAAAACATTCAAAGTAGATCAACAAACGACTGACCACCAGCTAAACCCTTCAGTACTATTAAATATCCTCTAAAGTTCATTTAAAAAATCTATTTTAGTAATCTACTCATATCCACAAAAAGACCACCTACTATATCAAATTTCATGTTTAGCTGGCTGATCTAATCCTACTGCTCTTAATTTCACATGCATCTTTAAATACATACAAAATGTTAGCAAAAAATAAAAATAAACTAGCTTTGCACCAAAATGAATCAAAAATATTATGAAAGGCAAAAACCTTTAACAAATATAAAAAATTAATTTTTATTCAAGATTAATAAAGGCAAATATTTATTAAAAGCTGACAAGAGTACCAAATTTCATTTATTTATAAATTCGTTTTTTGGTTAAGGAGGATTAGGCTGTGCGCAATAGAACTTGGTTCTTTAGCGTTGTATTAATCTCATTATTGCACACAGCCTTTAATATAGAGGTTCATAGTTTGAAAATTTGTATAATATCAAAAAATGTAGATTCTTTTAATAACGAAGTTGAAAACCGAAAACATTGTTGTTTTTAGTAGTGCTGAAGTGATGCCTTTTCTACTTCAACATTTAAGTGAAGAAGCAATACCACAATGCGTGTAATACAGCCGGGAACCAGAGTAGAAAACTAAAAAAAGGTCGCTTGTTGTAAAAAAACTTGCACATGGATACGGGTAATATCCAGATGCCTGCGGATATCCGCTTAATATATCCAGATATGGGTATCCCATGTGTGGTTGTAAACCCTAATCAAAAATTAAACGTACCAAAGAACAATGGATATGAGTACGTGAACTGAAAATTTTGTTTATTTGCCTGATAAAATATCAAAAAAACTTACCATTACAATCCGAATTTGCGTGAATGAAAATAGCCAAAGGCTGAAATGAAGAAAATATTTTAGTCACACAATTAAGAAAAAGTTACTTACTGGAAGAATAATACAAAGAATGAGTTCAATTATTTGTTGCGCGTCTACTGCCATTATTGAAGCTTTAAATTAGTGTAGAATAATAGTATTTTTGATAATTATATTCTAAAACAAATTTGAAAATAAAAACACGGAATGTTCCTTAAAACAATAGATAAGCTAATCAATAAAAGATATTATTCTTATGATGTTACCGAAATCTTAAACAAATAAAAGTTTTTTGATTCTCAAAATAAAAAGGAAACTTAAAAATGAAATGAGATTTAGTGTAGCAATTAAAAACAAAGCTACTATTATTTCTCCTATTCTCGTATTTTTAAATGCCAGCTGGAATAAATAAAAAAATGTGTATATCTATTGCCAAGCGCTATTGACTTTTTTGAAACAAGTAAAAATAAAATGAATTGTGAGGACTGAGAATTGCCTGTGATTTTGAAAAAAATTCTTATTGGAGAGTAAAAAGGTTCAAATAAGAGCTTACATGAGTTTAGTTAATGTAAGGTTTGAGAAATTCGTTTCTCGGGATTATGAGGTTTAAATGGGATATTGGACGAAAATGTTCTAAGTTAGTGTTAATCATTTTAATTCAACCTCAATATTTGAAAAATGAAGAAAAAAAATCATTAAAAATGAAAACAAGTTCTCCTCTAATAAAACATTTCTTTCACATTAAAAATACCACTCAAAATGATTTTACATTATAAAAATACTTATTGAGGCTAAAAGTAGACCCTTAAAATTAAAAGTATTTGCGGGAGAAAACGGAAAATGAGAAAGAATGGTTAGATGAAATGGTTAGAAAAAAAAATAAAATTACCAAATCGAGCAACACGTGAATTTGTAAAGTCGGGAGGGCCACCATGAATCATAAAAATGATCGGCGAAATAGTAAAAATGGGAGGGCCTTTATTTATGTAAACAATCGGAAGATGAGTATGTTATGTGTACTTCTTTGATCCCATACTTTTTTGTAAATATATGTAGATTATTTTTATTTTTAAAGTAAAAAAATAATCAAGGATATTTTAGATACGAAAATCATGGAAAGATACATAAATATAAAAAATCTGATCAATATTTGTGAATAAACAAAGGTGTTTCTAGGTGGCGGTAAAATATGTAGAGTGTGAGAAAGTCCATTGTACAGGAAAATAAAAAAATGTTGGATTAACCAGTTTTTTTAACCAGCGGTGAATTGGGGGAGTTTTCTTGTTTTTAAACATTTTTCATGTGATGAAAACATATAAAATACCATTGTTTTTGAAATACTTTGGTTCCCTTCATGTGATGATTCAAGGAATTTTTTTTGTATAATATTAAGTCATGGAATTTCAACTTAAATAACGCTTGTTTATTCATTCAACGTGGTTTCCCCTTAAAATCTAGTCAAAACTAGATAATCAGTAAAACATTTTATCTAACAATAAGTATACTAAAAATGGGCCATCTCTATGAGGTGAGTTTTTATAACAGACAATACTCAAGTAAATAATATTGCTTTCACCCTCATGAATTAATCGATTATCTAAACATGAACAAAATTTTGTTTGTTATATTAAAAGCAGACATGCAACTATAAAATAATATTACCACCTACTTCTAAAAATAGATGCTTTATAAATTTATTAAATAAAAATTAATTGAAGGATTAACCAAAACAAAGTTAATAGAGATTAATTCACAAAAATATTGGATAAAAACAAAATGGTTAAGGGATCGAGATTCAAAATAACATTTGGAATGAATTAAAAATAGTTTAGTGTAGGAGAATTTAATAAGGAACAATATAAGTGAAAAAAAACCTGTCAAATCTTGACAATAAGATTTCAATTATTTGGAATGCTATTCACTGAAGATGATGTACTTCTTTGTCTAAAAATAGCGATAATACAAAAAAAAATTAAAGAAAAAAGTTGTTTACCCTTCATTTATTTTCTCTGCAAGTAATGTATTACATCGTTCTACAACTAGTTCATAATCCATAGTTTGGTCAAAGTAACTCCCATAATCAGACAAAATTTCTCGTAGATTATTAATTTTTACTTCATATTTTCTCAACATTATATCCTTTCGTCTCCATTCATCTCTTAATTCTAATGTGTTCTAAAATTTATTTTTAAAAATAATTTGATTTTAAATATAATATATATACACCTTGTTTTCTGCCTCCAATTGCTGACATCTCTCTTCCAATTGCTGGCATTTTCCTTGTAATTGTTTTATTGTTCGTACATGACTTTCCAAAGAGGTGCGTAGTTGCTGTATTTCGCTATCCTTATTGGCACATTCTTCTTGATTTAATTCCTTAAAAAATAATTGCTGATAAGTATTTAATTTTTGATTAGAATTTTCGAACCCCTCTTCAAAAAACTTTGAAATTTCTCTAAAGAAAATTTTATAAAACCTTAAATCTTTGTGCTGCCGTCAAAATTTGCTCATTTTTATTGTCCAATTCCAAATTTCGATTTCGAAGGTCAGTAATTTGTTTGCGTAGATCATTTATTTCAAGTTCCCTCGCTCCTCCATATTTATTTTGATAATAATATTCATTCCGCTAAATTTAAATTTTAAGGAAAATTCTAATAAAAATTCAAAAAAACCTGTAATTTGTTTTGTAAATCCTCAATTTGGCTGTTACTGAGCTCTAGTGCACCTCGCATTTCTTCAAGCGATCTGCGTGTTTCTCGAAACTTTTTGTCTAGTTCATCCCTAGTTGCCAAACATTCATTCTTCAAAAGTATTTCCCGATTGAGTTGAGCTTTTAATGTATCCCTTTCTTCTTCAATATTTTTACATCTTGAACATGACTAAAAAGAAAACACAAATTACTTTTGGGTAAGAACTATTCAGTTATTAGAGACGAAAATCTATTATATTATGGCCCACACTAAAACGATTTTTACCGCTAATTTTTAGTAATATAAAATTAAAAAGAAAACCTTAATACGACTTGGTCCTTCTTCCGAATGATTTAAATTTTCAACAGATGAAGGCGCACTCATTTGAAGTTCTTGAAACTCTTAAAATTAACATAAATCTTTTATAAAAGAAAAGCTCACTCTTGTTGTATACTTCAATCGAACGATTCAAATCCAATTTGAGATTCTTAATTCTCTCAACCAATTTTATTTGCTCAGAGTTCTGTGCATCCTCACCAGCTATTCCACTATGAATTTGAGCAAAAACATCAGCAGTAGTGCGTAATTTATCAAAAAGAGAACAGAGAAGTTGACCAAGAGCATGTTCTCGTACCGAATCAGGACGTTCTGTTCTCTTAAGGAAAAATTTTTTAATCAAGGAACAAAAATTGAAATCCAAAAATGAGAAACATTTTCAAGCAGCTTTTAATCTTACCGCTGTGCTTTGTCTGCTTTCACAATCAGAATTTTGATCAATATGTTGTAAACAATCTTCAAATGAACGATCAAATCTGTCGTCGGCTGGAGACGCAACACGATTTTCACGTAGATGATAGTTTATGGATTCTTCATTTCTGAGTCGATCTTTCAACTTAAACATAATTTTAAGGAAAAATAAAGCATTTAAAAATACCCCGACATTCTCATTTTCAAGAGCATCAGCAATAGTTCTCAATTCATCATACTTCTTATCACTCTCCCTGATCCTTTCATTTGCATCATCTTTAAAATTCTGGAATTTCCTGTTCAGCTCTGCCAAGCGGTCAACTGCTCTTCTATATTTGCTTTTTTGTTCCTCTAGCTCGCTTAATTTACCAGTAACCTAAATATTTTTATTTTAGGTAAAACAAAATATCAAGAAAAATACAAATTTAGTGCAGTCTTGCCCTTCATAATTCTTTAAATGAGGGATTGCTCTTTTAAGTTCTGTATTTTCACTCTCAAGATCGCGTAACTGACGGTGTAATCTTTCTATTAATTCTGTGTTATTTGCCGATTCAACACTAGCAGAAGCTTAAAATGTCGAAAATAGTTAAAAGCACAGAAAGAGCAAAACTCACCACTCCCCCTTGAAATGTCAGCACTTAATAAAAAAAAATTAAAAAAAATAAATTTAGAAAACCTCATGATTGAATTATCCGCGGTTGTAGTATCATTCATTGATTTCTAAAATGCAATTAATTTACTATAGCTAAATATTTAGTAAAACATCTGAAAACAATTTAAAAAAGTCAGTTATAATAGGCAATGAACAGTTTTTGTTAAAACTAAAAGCATAAAATTTATAATTCCATAAATACTTGTAAAAAAAAACAAAAATAATGTCAACTATTTGATAATTTATTTATTTAAAACTATTCGAGGAAAGACTGCTTCATTCTTTTCCAGACTGATAGTTCCAGAATCTTTACGTGAACACATGAAACAAGCGAATTCTAGGCCTCTATCCGAGTGTGGAATACCAAGACTAAAAATAAAAAATATGATTGATTATTATCAACAAATCTCCTTACATTGATAACAATCTATCAGCAAAATCTGGCGTAACTGGTTGCAGGTAAATAGCCGTAAGTCGGACCGTCTCGTAGGTAATAAAAAGAATAGAATCAACCTTCTTTTGTGCATTAATAATTTTCCAGGGCTCATATTGTTGAAAAAGAAGATTCGCCAATTGAACAAGTTCAACAAGTAAATCAAGTACACGATGTATATTTTGATTGTCGTAATGTTCAGTCGCAATCTCTTTATTTTAATCATATTTAGACAAAATTATTAAAAATATTTAAAAAACCTGGCAAAGTTTCTAGTTTTTCAATAAGTTGTTTGGCTGTTGCTTTACTCATTTCATCGTCAAAATGGGCTAAAAGTTCATTGGTATCAGTCCTGATAGGATAATGTTTTGATGGATTGAGCCTTGGGTTAAGTGAGCGTTGCAATAAATTTCCCAAATCATTGACCAAATAAGCATTAATCAATGTTACTGCCTTTTCCAATGTAAAATCTAAAAATAAATGTTATAATTTAAACGCATTATGCAAATTATAAAAATTATCAAAAATAATCATATGCAAATCCTATCCTATGTTAGTATGAAATACTCTAATAGAGGAAAATAAATGATTGAATATTACATCTAATATGTTTCAGGAAGAAGAACCAGGAAAACCTCAAAATTGGTGTTTTACAGTCACCGTCATATCTATTGTAGATATTAATTATATAAATAATTTTAATGTTTTTCTTAAGATAAGCTTTATTAATATTACAATATTTGTGGTTATTCGAGTGCTTTTAGATACAGAGGACGAATTTGATGAACCCTTAGTCAACGGTTTTTTAAATACACTAAAAAATAAAAGATAAAATTTAGGAGAGTTAAGAGAAGAATTAACGAAATTCTTAGGATTCTTTGCCTTAAGCTTTTGCTTTGGTTGTTGGTGCTGTTTTTGTTGTAATGGAAAATGCTTCAGGTTTTTCCAAAAAATTTTTATTAAATTTTATTTAAGGTGTTTCTACTTTTTGAATCCAAAAAGGTGGAGGCTTGGACATTGGTGGGCCATCTTTATTGGACATCAATTCATTCATACGAAAACTGAAAGACAAACAAGTTAATGTTTAATATCTGAAATATTTTCTAAACCCTGATATAAAACCAGATGTAACACAAAATGGCCAAGAGGAACATTTAAATCTGAAAGATCTTTCAACAATGGAAAATAGAAGGAACCATATCAATGATGTTGAAAATGGTAATGCAATAAAGAATAACAGTAGAGCAGGGCAAAAAATCAACAGAATATCTGAAACAGATTTTGATATAGAGAGGCGGGTATCTCCCATTTTTATGAGCTCTAATTTATCGGAAGCAATGGAAGAAAATAATGAAACAGAAGACGAAATTAATCAAAAGCCTTTAAGCTTTGTAGCATCATCAGAAAACAAAGAAAGTTGGAGAGAAAATAAGGTGAAACCTGGGTTGATTACAACCCACAAAATCCTATTCATTTTTAATTAGATGTCAATGCCTACAAAATTAAGCATTAGACGATGGTCTTTGGCACATCATATTAGTTCCGAGAATCTCATTAAAATGATAGAAGAAAGGGAGAATGAAAGAGGAATAAAGAATAACCAAAAGGAAGATAAGCGAGTCAATTTCATGCTCAAAGAAACCATAGATAAACTTAATGTGGGTAGAAATACTTTGAAAACCGAAAAAATTATAAGCATTTAGGTCCCTATTCATATATGTTCTCCGATTAAAACGACAAATAACAGTAAAGGAACAGAAAACCCGGCATACGAAATGGAAGAAATTTCTTAAGGAACGACACGAAAACAGTGAAAACCAGATAAAAAACAAATTGTATAAATAACGATAAAAAAATCTTGTAAATAAGTAGGCCAAGTACTTAAAACCCAACATAAGTACCCCTATTTGTAAATAAAAAAATAAGCAAACCTCCATGTTCATAAGGTATTTGCTTCAGTAAAAAGTAGCGAAGTCCATCAACAGAAGTTATTTCGGCTGTTTTTAAAGGACAAAAAACATTTCCAAGGCTTTTTGACATCTAAAAACAGAGAAATAATTAAAGAGCGAGAATATCCAAAATTAACCTTTCTTCTTCCAGAGAGCCAATGTCCATGAACGAGTAATTTCTTTGGCAAAGGTAAATCAGCTGCAAGTAAAAATGCAGGCCAATAAATTGCGTGAAATCTGAACAATTTTAATATAAAATTGAAGTGAAACCTCAATACTTAAAAATATCAATGCCTAAGATTTGAATAGTTGGTGGCCACGAAGCTATTTGTTTAGGATAACCAACAGCAGTAAGATAATTAACTAATGCATCAAACCAAACATAAATCTTTAAAAAAACATTTAGTCAAACTGTAGGGGAACATTGATTTTAGAATTTTCCCAATTGTCATTTTTTAAAAGAAATTTTAAATCAACCGTCTGTGAATCATCATTTGGAACAGGAATACCCCAAGAACATCTGCTTATGGGTCTAGAAATTGAAATTTGAGCAGCCGAATCTTTGGACATAAAATCATCAATATATGAGATTAAATGAGATTGATATATCACTCCTTAATAGAGAGAAATTAAATAATTAGCTAGAATTTAAAAAAACCTGGTTGATTAGCCCAATTACGAATTTGTTCATAAAATCGCGATAAATCAAAAGCATAATTTTCTTCTGAAATTTTTGAAACAAGTGATTTTGTCTCTTTGGCAATCAAAAAGTTAAAAAGGAAATTAATAAAAGTAGAAAATTAAATAAACTTTTGTTTGCTCTCCATTAGTTGCAGTATGATCAATTACTTCGTAGTCGTCGTAGAAGCATTCATCAACTGAAGAATACCAACCTTCATATGAACGTTTGAAAATATGACCCCTTTTGTCCAACAAATTCTATTTAATAAATGTTAAAAAGATTTTTTTACAAAGAAAGCATACCCAAAAATGATTTACAGCCTCAACATGTTCGGGAGAAGTTGTTCGAGTAAATCGCGTATACTTTATGCCAAATTTTTTGAAGACATTCATAAACATGCTGCTAACAACATCACAATGGTCTTTAGGTAGTAATCCCTTTGCATTTGCAGCATCTTGAATCTTCTTTCCGTGCTCATCTGTCCCCGTGGAAAAATAAAAATTGGGTGGAAACGGCTGGTTCGGAGAATTTCCACAACGCATCAAATTCCATCGAAAAAGTGCATCCACCAAAAGCGCACTATAGATATGACCAATATGAGGAACTAAAAATTTAAAAAAAACTTAAGAGATATTTAAGAAAATAAACCTGAATTAACGTAAAAAATAGGCGTTGTAATATGAAAACTATTGTGACTGATTCGTCGTTTTTGAATAAAGAATAAATTTAATGAACGACAAAATTTCATTAGCTGCTGAAACTCTTTTTTGATCTAACGTTCGTAATGTTAAAATAAAGCAATAATCGATAAAATTCGAATTGATTAAAAAACTTTAAATTTAAACTTTTATTAAATTTAAGAAGGCATTTCATCGTTAGAATTTAACAATAAATTTCTCCTCTGATTCAATTCTTCTTTTGATTGATCTGAAATACTACTTTTGGAAATTCTTTCATCTAATTCAGTTTTAATTTCGGTTTCTAAAGCTTCCAATATTTTATCCGGCAATATTTCTTCTTTTTCCTTCAGAGGCTTTGTTGCTTGAATAAGTAAAATCTCTCTTGATTTTCTATCTGTAGTAGAACTCGGATTGCCATTTTTGTCAATTCTTTTATAATCTAACTTAAAATAATATTTTTATTTATGATCAATTTTAGAAGATTTTTTAATTAAAAAATTAATCATATAATTTTAAACCTTAACGCAACCAAAGCCAGAATGTTCAAGTGTTTCAATATAGCGCAGCGGATCATAATCAAATTTGCTTAAAATACGATACTTTGCCAAACGATGCAGCTTTTGCATGTCCATAGCACAAAAAATAGGACAACCAGGTTTTAAAACACGATAAAACTCATCGCAGCTTTCTTTCAAATATTTGTTGTCCCAAGCATAAAAAACATCAATATGAAAAAGCGAGTCAAAAAAATCAGTATTGTAGGGCAAAAAGTTAAACATTCCAATCTAAAATACACCAGCTAAAACGTCATTTATCCTATAAAAATATTAAACCTGTGAAAACATTGCTTTGGTACGAGTAATATCGTCTAACATTTCACTTGATGTAATGTCAGCCATGTAATTAGAAAGTTCAATACCATAATATTGTCCGTTACCAGGAAAAATTTTCTCTAATATTAAATCTACACCATTGCCACGACCAAAACCAACTTCAAGAATGTAGTCATCTAAATTTGGAGATTATGTGAAATTTAAAGTGTGAACAAATAAAAAAATATATCATAAAAACTTGCCTGGACGAAGATTCATAACCCTAATTAACATAGAATAAATAGGCATTGTTGATCGCGCCTCCATTTTAGTAACAATATAACCTAGTAGAGAACTTGTAGGACACATAAACTTAAAAATTTTGGTAGAATTTTAAACTTTCGAAAAAAATATTTCAAGACCCTAAATAGAATTAAATTTAAACCTGAAGTCTTATGTCACGCATCGCCACGGACAAGAACTTTTGATAACGAAATTTTAGATTATTTCCAAGGTACTGGAAGTTAAATGTAATTTAGAATAAACGAATTTGAAAACCTGAAGATTAAGTTCCTTTCCAGCTAGTAAAGCAAATTTTTCAGGTAAGAATTTGAGCATCTGGAAAAAGGCAAATAAGTCTTAAAATGTAAGAATAAAGATAAAAGATCCAGAAAACATCCAGAAAAATCGATACAGCCTAAGAAGAAAAACGAAGCTTCTGTAGCTTGAGTATTCGTCTTGTAAGAATTATAATTAGTTGACACTTTGACATTCACCAATTTGAAGTTTCCAGATTAATTTTGTGAGAAATTTTCACTCAAATTTATTGAAGCTTAATTTGGCTTCAGTTTTTATTTTTTTATACCGAGATCTCGTGTGGTTTTATGCCGGTTTTTTCGTTTTTTTTTCGTTTTTTTTTCTGTTTTTCATCTGTTTTATTTATTTTATTCGTTTTCTTATTCGTTTCCTCTGCTGCGCGCGCTAAAATTAAAAAAAATAAAAATTTTCTATTTTTTTGAAAAATACTAATTTTCAATAATTTAAAGGTAGCCGTTCGTGGACGTGCAGATGATTGGTCTGGTGTTATAATTTGTTTTTTTGTTCAATTTTAATTTTTTGTTTATCAATCTTTTTGATTTTTTTAATTTAAAGGCCTGCTGCTGCTCAACATGGTTCTGCTGCTCTACATGTTGCTGCTGATATCCGGTGGTTTTTATCCTTTTTATTTTTTTAAATTTAATTACCAAAATAATTTTTTTTATTTTTCATATTTTTTTGCTTGTGGTGGCGTGGCTCAACATGGATGGATGGTCTTCATGGTCTGGCGGGTTTTCTTTTTTATTTATTTAAATAATTAAATAAAATTAATTTTATTATTTTTTTATATTTTTTTTTGCTTGTGGTGGGTGGTGGTCAACATGCTCTTGGTTGGTCAATATGCTATTGGTTGGTCAATATGCTATTGGTGGTATTCAACGTGCTTTTGGATGGAATGGTGGTGGCTGGTTTTAAATTTTTAAAAATTTTAAAAATAAATAAATTTAAATTTTTTTTTATTATTTTTAAAAAAAATTTTTGTTTGCTGTGGTGGCATGTTCAACATGCTCTTCATGGTGGTGTTCCAAGTGCTCTTCATGATGGTGGTGGTCCAAGTGCTCTTCATGGTGGTGGTCTTTATGGCCTTCCGGCCTGGTAAAAAATTACTTTTTATTGAAAAAGCAAAAATTGGCAAAAAATAGCGCACGCGCCCCGCATTTCTTTTTCTTCATTTTCTTGTTGTCCTTGTCTTGTTTTTGTACAATTTTAAAACATTTTTATTTTGCCGATTTAGAAAAATGTGGCACTTGGCTAGATATGGGAAATTGAACTGGATGTGGAATGGAGTGAATTGAACTAGGAATAGAAAAGGTTTTTTAGATTAGCAAGGGTTTTAATTTCTGAGGGCGTTTCTGGGGTAGACCGTTTCTTTGCCAAGCGTTCAGGTCACTCTTTTTCTTAAAATTTAAATTTTGGCATTCTGTTTTCTGAAAATGACAATTTGTCCGATTCTAGAAAGACAACACAGAGAGAGAAAGAAAGTAAACTTCTCTAATTTTTTATTGGGTTCATTTGAGTCTGAACCTGGGGGAGGGGGGGGGGTAACTTTTGGCAAGAAAATTTTTTAAATTCGAGGGCTCGACTCCTCCCGATAAATCTGATTTTCGTGAATCATGAACTCACGAATTTGATCGTTAATTTTGTGAACTCATGGCCCAAAAATTAGTAAAATATTTATAAAGTAAAACAAAATAAATACGTAGCGATTGCATTTATATAATCCTAAGTGATAAGTACTCATCCATTCTCGACATGTCCACCATAATCGGGTATTGGATTTTCATCGCAGCCTAGCACTTCAAATGATGGCAAGCACAAAGGCGAACATTTTCGGCAACACGGTTGGCAGGGAATGTTCGGTTGTATTGGCATCATTGATTGGTGAAATACTTGCTCTGATAAAGGTGCTACCGAGGGTGAATGTTGAAATGCGAAAGGTAGCACCGGTGGAGATGAAAATGTTTGTGATGACGAGTATGTTGGTGAATAGGCTAATGAAGCAGATGATGCTGGTAGAAAAGCAATGCCACCAGATTGAACAGGGCGAACAGTGATAAGAAAGGCATTTGTTGGACACGGCGAGCCTATTTTAGTAGAAAATAGTTTAACAAAAACTTATTAGAGTAACCTATAGATATACAAGGGGGAGGTGGCATAGGTAATGGTGGTGGAAGGGATGGTAGCGGCGGTAACGGTGGTGGCGGTGGATATGGTGTTAGCGGTGGCGGAGGTATTGGAGCAGTTGGTGGAGGGAGATAAGGAAGATAAGGCGGAGTTGGCGGTGCGGGTGTTGGCTGGTGTGGTCCTTGTGTTGAAATCATTCTCGTCCAGTAACTTCCTTCCTCGTCGTCGTTGCAATTTCTGATTGTGATTCGGAGCTGAACACAATTTTCATCAGTGGCATCACATCTAAATAATATTACAATTTGTATCATATAAATTATCTTGAAGAAGTCTCCATTTTTATAAACCAACGCCCTGCATTTCGGCAATAATGAGTTCCACAGGAGAGGTGTTGACTGTCCATAGTACTGTGGTTGTATTCTTTCTGACCGCATCACGGGAACCGAATAATATCTCTCTTGTCTCTGCTTGTGGCCTTCTCGTTCATTATCATGATTATCATTATTTTCACAGCCAATTGCTGTAGAGAAATGACGACAAAGCAATGTCGATTGTCTCCTGTGGCGTCCGAATATTATCTGGTTTAAAAAAAAAATAATTTTTCGACTTTTTGACAAAACAAACGTGTTCACTGTTTATTTTGATCGGCATGTGAACAATATCAGCAAATGATGTGTCGATTATAATAATAAATTTAAAGAGGTGGACAAGATATGTTGCTAAATGGTACAATAGCAATAACGGCAGCTTCATCTCAGTCTAGTAGTAACAGACAAATCTGTTTTTAATTAAGTCGAAAATTAACTAAACGCGCTTCTTTCAACATTATAATAATAATACCGCATTTACTGCAATTTTTTAAAGCTGTGCTTACCTCATTTAACAAATTTACTAGCGCGCTTTCTGACCCTATGATTGTTATAAAGCTTTGTTATAGGAAGAAAAATTGAGGTGGTGGTTTCTATCGGAAATTTGAGCAACCACAAAGGGATGACCATTGTAGATAGTGTTTTTAAATAAATAAATGAAATATGTATCTAAAACAAATATTTTGATTTATGTAAGTGTTGTTTGTTTGTGAGTGTTTTCTTTTGTTTACTAAAGGCTTTTTGTTAACTTAAGGTAAAAAAATGCCGATTAAATTCAAAATAATTCAATTAAAAAATTTGTAAAAGTGATTTACACAATTTAAAACAATTTTTAATGCTAAAATCTTTAAAAAATTTTCACAGAACTTTACTCGTTTTTGCTTTATGAATCATCATTTTTCGCCAACCTCCAAACGGACAACCACCCATACTGTTAAAAAGGCCAGATCCGATTGGAGAACCTCCGCATGTTGATTGTAAGCATATTGGAAGGCACTAAAGAAAAATATTCCTAGTTACATTATCTTTGCATACTGCTGGCATGCAACAAGCGCAACAACTACTCATTGGCAAGAAAGGCGGGGGTAATATTGGCATTGGAGGTGGCAACATCGGCATTGGCGGTGGTAATAAGGGCAAAAGTGGTGCAACTGGCATACAGCACTAAAAAAACAAAAGAATATTGTAATTTAAAGACTAAACCGGAGCTAAAATTATGGGCGAACAACACATCGGCATATTAATTGGTCCCATTCCTCCAAACGGGCAGCAACCTCCGCCAATACCACCAAAAGTATTTCCAAAAAATTGACGTTTTATTCTTCTGTCAAAAATTTTAAAACTGGCATCTCCAAAAACATAATTTACCTTTTATTAATTGATATTTCCGAGAAATTGCTATAAGAGAGATTGCTAACATTAAGTGACTTCACGAGAATATTATAATTTATTGATGAAAAGGATCGAATTCCCAACAAAAACATAATTAAGATTAAAATATTTTGGCACATACTGGATTTCTATCGAGATTGAATTACTATTTTTGTATGTTATGGAAAAATTTCTCCAAGAAAATGGGTCAAGTTCACTCAAACCTTGTCGATTTTTTGAAGTGCCATTGAGCAAGCATGCGCAAGATTAAAATAGATGCGTTTAATGCGATCTACTAGTTTAATAAACAAAATAAAATTTAACATTCTATCACTTTATCTAACAATTATCTGGTATATACATATATAGTATGTGAAATGAGCTTTTATTAAAAATATAAAATTAATACCCAAATATCCATCACCAAATTCACTTATGGAAAATTTAAATGCTTCTTATTTTCGATGCTTTTCGGTTAATTTTTTATCTGCCACTGTTCTTTTTGATATAGGCGCTGGGAATAATGAGGAAGGCACTGATGGTACCACCCTTTTTTCTTGAGTGGAAAATGCCTGTGGTACCAAATGTTGATTTGTCGCTGCTGCTTGATTAATCGGCAATAATTGCCCTGCATTACTATTGCCATTCTCAGTCGGATTGTTTCCAGATGTTCCAAATTTTAAAATTTTGTTACTATTATCATTTCTAAGTGGTGAAAAATGATTGTTGTTATTATTCACTTTTCTGTATCGTAAACAACATCTTTGGGCGCACTGAACATATCCAGGTTGGCATTGGCAGATCGGCTGACATTGTAGCTGTTGGCACAACATAGGCTGACACTGCATTACTATTGGAGGTTGTCTCATTGGCGGTGGTGGAGGAGGTAAAGGGGGAGGAACACAAATTGGAGCACATTGAATTGTCACACTCTGAATTTTTATTTCGGAAAGTGCTAAACACTAAGTATAACATTCTAAACCTGTATTGCCATTGGTGGCGGGACTGGTGCCATTTGTGGAGGAGGAGGAGGAGGAGGTGGTGGTGGTAAACAGCAAGGATCTTGTTGGATTGGAGAACAAATACATATTGGTGGTAGAGGAGGGGGTGGAGGAAGTGGCGGTGCCTGTTGTTGCATTGGTAAACAACAAAGATCTTGCTGAATAGGAGTACATATGCAAGTTGTTTTAATTGGTGCCATTTGAGCTTGAGGAGGAGGGGGAGGAGGTGGTGGCAAACAGCATGTGTCTTGTTGGGCTACAAAATAATTTGTTACTAACATATTTTATAAATTATACTTGGTGTACAGATGCATATTGCCCTTTGCGCCGGCATTGGAGGCGGAATAGGTGGAGCTGCTAATGCTGTGCAACATGGATCTTGTTGAACTAAAAATTGGAAGAACTGATTTAATTATATTTTTCTTGCCAGGAGTACACAAGCACATCGGCTGGCTCAATTGTGGAGGTGGAGGCATAGGAGGAGGAGGAGGTGGTGGAGGCAAACAGCATGGATCTTGCTGGATTGGCGTACAGATGCAAACTGGCGGAGGTAATGGAGGCGCCATTTGTGTGGGCGGAGATGGAAGAGGAGGCGGACAAGGACAGATCACTCCAGGTTGCACACGAACGGTTACTGGATAACATAATTAGATTAGAGAATGTGACCTTTGAGATTTTAACATTTAGATTTAAGCGGATTTTTCTAAATTCAGTAATTCTGTGGGTTATATTTACAAATCACCTTGAATGCATTCGCAAGGTTGAATTTGAGGAGGAGCCATTTGCGGAGGTGGTGGTGGAGGGATTGGCACACAACACACTTAAAAAATAAGTTTATAAAAATGTAAGTAGATTGTCTAACTAGGTGTACAAATACACGGTTGTGGTGGAGGTAATGGCGGATGCATTTGCGGTGGTGGTACAGCCGGCATTGGTATACAACACATATCTGAGGAAAATTAAAATCAAACCTCAATAGACTAACATAAGATTCAACGTACCCGTTGGCATACAAATACATTGTTGCTGCATAGGGTGTGGGGGTGGAATTGGAGGCATTAATTGTGATGCTTGCCCCATTGGTGAGCAGCAGAATGCATTCTGTCTTCTGCCTCGAGTCATTTCATCTGTGTTTGATTCCGGTGGCTTTGAACTATGTTTAACTTCTATCTAAAAATGAGGTAACTTGTTCCGATCATTTTTTACATTTGGAACTTTCTATAGTTACATTTGTTACATTACTTTTTTACAAAACTTTGGGTATCTCTTTAGATTTACGTATGATTGGCTTTTATTCTAATTTTAAACCTCATTAATGTTTTCGACATTTTTCACTGGCAAAGCTTTAATATATTTTTCAACGAAAAAAAGAATGATAATAATTTGTATTTGATTAAATTTAATAAGCCAAGAATTTGATCTTCGTATCCTGAATGTTCTACTACGTTTCGGAAGCATCATGCAATATTTTAGTTCTGAAAATAAACTTAAGAGTCAAATTTATATTATTGTCTATTAAAGAAGTTAAATATAATCCATGTAATATAAAAATATGATTGTTGGATTTTACTTAGTAGACTAAAACATCCGGTTGACCATGGCAAGAGCGAAGGGAATAAATGAGTGAATGAATAATTCGGCAATACAATCCCCTTTTCCTCAATCTTGGGCGAGAAGCAGTAATAGGTGAAACAAAACAAGGAACAAAAAACACGAGAGGATGGACATTCCAACGACAACAATGGCCCTCAACAATAGCGGAAGCAACGGCGAAAGGATAAAGTGAAAAGACGATGAAAATATTTTATTTTTTTAAAATGTAAAGAATTGAGGGCTGGTACATAATTTTTAAGCGAAGTATCGAGGGAAGGGGGTGTTTTGAGGTGGTCATTTTGGATGAAGAAAAATGATTGTCCGCCGTCATACGTTGTCAACGAGGCGCGCGGAAGAGGAAGTGAATAAAAGTAAATAATGGCCAAAAGCTGGTCCTCGGCAAAAGGACATCTGTCTCGTGCTTATCATCGTTTCGTCTTTAGATTTGAAAAATCCTCAAAGTTAAGATTATTATGAAAGAAATTGGGGATACAACTGAGACGGGAATTAAAATTAAGAGAATTATGAATTATGGATAATAAACATCGAATTTACTTCCCTTATAAATTTGAACCGACTCACACCAGTCGAGTATGTGAGCCGTTGAGTGTGACAAGTGTGAAAGACATACAATTATCATGTTTTAACTTTTAAAAGGATGATTAGACTATTTTTCCACTTGTAGAAAGATTCCGATTGTCAGGAACGATCAGAGTACGAGAAAAGATCCACTGACGAATTGTCTACTGAAGGATTTTCCACTGACGGATTGTCCACTGAAGGATTTTCCATTGACGGATTGTCCTCTGACGGATTTTCCACTGCCGGATTGTCCACTGACGGATTTTCCACTGCCGGATTGTCCACTGACGGATTGTCCGGGCACGAGAAATTTTATAGCTAGTTGTAGCTTTGCGCCGTTATTGCCCTGCGCCTTTCTGGACGTGTCCCGAAATTAATTAGGTAAATTGCAAAATTTGACCATGGGGCGTAAACAATATTTTCTAAATTCATTAAATTCGTTGAACATATTTTTATCTACATATTTACTTTTAATTTTCAGAAATGGATAATTCATTTTCACAACGGAAGAGACAAATGATTACAAAATCTGGAATTGGTTTTCTTCTACAGCATGTTAGTTTTTTTCTCATTGATAAAAATACAAATATTGATTAAAATTTTTCAACATTTAGATGAGAGGATCAACTCATGAAACAAATTCAACTGATGATGAAAGCGAAGGAGAACCTAGCAGTCCAAAACGAGATAAGGTTATTTTATTTTTCTATTTTTTTATTTTTTATACATACTAGATAGATCAAGAATTAAATATAGATCTAATAAAGAACGAGGATATTTTACAAGAAAATGCTGAAAATCAAGTTGTCATCCCCAAATTATCCAAAATATCTGAAGATCTTTCACTACCGTCAGACGAAAATTTTTATTCTAATTTGAAGCCTTTTCAAGAAATTTCTGATTGCTTCAAGGAAGGAACAACGCCTAATTTTGATGCTCATATTCGTCGTTTTATTGGTGAAAATAATTATGTACGGAGTTGCAAATGGTATTTTTTGAATGTTTACTTGTAGATTTTTCAAAATCTTCATTTTTTATATTTCTAGGTCATCTGATGGTAATTGGCTAATTTCAGACTCTTTAGATAGGTTTGTCAGGGTTTTTGAATTTCGAGATTTTCTTCCTGCTGACGAGCATCAAAAGCAGCGTCTGGTAATTAAATTTCTAATAAAGAAAATTGTTTATTTTTAGCTTCATGCGTCTCATAAACTAGCATTTGGCGGGTTGATTTATGACTTGAACTGGCATCCAGCACTAAATATTTTTGCTACTACAAATAAGGGTAATTTTAAATTAATAGTGATAGGTTAATATTTACACTGAAATTTTTTGCTTGACTTCCCACCTACTCGGGAAAAATCACTATAGCAGTTTTAACTGCTGATTTAGCATAATTTTTTTAGGTTCTCCTATTCATTGTTGGAGTGCTTCAGTTGATGGAACAAGGTTATTCTCTTCATTTCGAGGGATTAATGACAAGGTATTGATTGCTTTATTTTTGAAATGTTTTTCCAACTTTTAAGGATGAATTAGAATCTGCTCATTCTCTCTGTTTTTCTGTTGATGGTCAACACCTTTTTGCTGGTTTCAAAAATTGTGTGCGCATTTTTAACTTTGAAAAACCTGGACGACAAATTAATGAAATTAAAACATATCGTTAGTTTTATAGATGTTTGTTAAAAAAATTTTTACAGAAAAATCAACTATGAAAACGCAAAAGGGTATTATTTCCTCTTTAGCAATGTGCCCAACTTTTGATGGCGTTTTTGCAGTTGCTTCTTATTCCGGAACTTGTAATTTTTACAATTTTTTGGTGACTTCTTTTCTCTCTTTAGTAGGGCTTTATTCTACACAAACAAATGCTTGCGATTCACTTATTGGATCTAATGATGGATCGACACCAATGACTCATTTGCAATATTCATCCTGTGGAAATTTATTATTTGCTGGACGTAGAAAGGTTTTTATTTTAAAGTTCCATCTTATATGTATAAGTGATAATAAGCACCATTTGTTCTAAAATACAGAACTGGGTACTTATCCACATAGAGCTGGGTATTTACTCCCTTAATCCCTAGATATTCCCTTTCAAAAGTTGAAGTTCTTCAGGGTTGACCCATCGTGTATTATTAATTTTTATTTTCTAGAGTCCTTTTATTCAATGTTACGATGTTCGCTTACCAACTAAGTTACTTTACAATTTTCAACGTGAATCAATAACAAACCAGCGCATTTATTTTCAATTAGATTTTAATGATCATTACCTTTACAGTGGAAGTAGTGCTGGCGATTTGCTTATTTATGATTTAAAAAAGTGTAATAAAGGATTAAACCAGCAAGAGCTTAAAACGGAATTTGTGGAGCCTGCTCATAAAATTAAATGTTCCGAGGCGGCTGTCACAGGATTAAGGTTCGAAACAATTATTTCTTTTATTATTTTATCATTTTATTTATTCAATGTTAAAATATTTTTGTGACATTATTACACAACGGAAGTAATTTATTCTATCATTTCTTTCAATTTTTTTCAGTTTGCACCCATGCGAACAATTTATCGCCGTTTCTACGGGTCAACGGCTATTTCCTTCCAGTTTGTTGCTCAACCAACTATTTGATGATAATAATTCTTTAAATGAAACAAAAAATGGCGATGATAATAATAATAATGAATATATTTCTCGAGGAAACGGCTCTTTATTAGACAATTCAATAAAATTGTACAAATTTGATTAAAAATTATATGCAAAATAAATGAAGTTTTTCAACTAATAATTTGTTTTCTCTCAGGTTTATTTAAAACAAAAAAATTTTTTCTATTTTTAATTATAAAAATATCTTTTATCCTTTTTATTTAACCTTGAGGTTTTTACTTACCCATATAAATTACACTTTATTATTTTTAAATTTTGTTAGTGATTGTTCCAATAACCTCTCTCATTTTTTTCTTATTTTATCTATTTTTGGTAAATAAAATCTCAAAATTTTGTTACAATGCATACATTAAAATCGAGTCACTTTTTTACACAAAATAATGATTTTAATGGCTTGAATTTTTTTAAATTATATGGGCAATTTCTAAAAAAAATTTTTAAGTTATTCTTTTTCGGAAAACTTTAACTTGATAAGCTTTGACTTGACTGTTTTTTTTATATTTTGAAGGCTTGGAAAGGGCTGAAAATTTTAGATAAAAATAAAAATGGATAAAAATCTCTCAGGTTCGCGCAAAAATATCCTTGTTTCCGCAATCTTTCCCGTCTATATTTTCTTCTCATTTAGTTGTTGCTTTAATTTTTATATTAACACATTATGCCTTATTAGTGAGAATATTTATATAATCAATCAATGATTCGCTCCTTCAACTATTAATTTATCTTATCTTTTCATCGTTGTTTTTGGTAGGTGGCTATATTTTATTACCTTAAGGTCGTAAATTTTCCTTTTATGTCTCATTTAAGCTCTAAACGCCCATTTAAAGAAATTGACCTGTTGTTGGGGGATGGTTCAGGCGCGCGTCTTTTCTTTTTCATCTTATATGACAATATTTTGTTGATAAAATTATTAAATATATTATTCATTTGCCAGCAATCAGTTGCGCATCTTACTCGTGATTTTTGTGGCATCTTCCCTGACTGTTTTGCATGATTCTTTCAATTCACCTTTCCCTATTCTCTCTATCGTTTATTTCCGCCGCACGCTTACTTCCTGTTAACTTCCCCATTCCTCTCATATTTTTTACCTTCGTCCCCTTATGTTCACCTTCATTAACGGCCCTTAAAGAAGCTAAACCAACACTTCGTTTATCTCATTTTCGCGCTTCTTTTCGGTTTATATTTCAATCATCCGAAAATCTTGGAACTAATCAGGGCTTGATTTTGATTAATTCTGTAATTTTGTATACTTAAAATTACTGATCCCATATTACCCTATTAAACCCCCGAATCATTAATCAGTCATTAATCACAATTATTACAGTCCAAGGCAGTTTATTTGCCGATTTAATAAAATTTTCTATTATTTCATCAAAATTTCTTTAAATAATTTGTCTTTCCACAACCAATTTATTCTGCTCATTTTCTTTCGATCGCCACATGCGATTGTTTATACTATTTTATGTATTTTTGGGAGGAGACGAGCGGGCGGCTTGTTTCGAGACGAGCGTCTCCTATCGAACCGATTAAATGACGAAGAAAGAAGGTGGTGGCAGCGGCCGATTCTGGGCGAGCTTCCGGTCCCCGCTACCCCAAATGTCTTTGTCGCTCACCTCTCTAACACATTTCTTTTCTTTATTTTTCTAGACCACCTTTTTATGCATCAATCCCTAAAAACTTGAAAGCAAAAAACTAATAAACAAAAGGCATTTTTTTGCTTCCTGAAGCAAAATTCTATGCAAAATTTTTGCAAAAATTTAGAAAGCAACTATTTTTGTAACTGAGCAGCTACTTCTTTATCCTAAAAATTAAATTCATTAAAATTTAATCTATGTATTTTAGTCCAATTATTATTTATCAGAATATCGAAACCAACAACAAACACATGATTTTAAAGCAACTTGCTAATAGAAATTTGTTCTGCTGATTCAGGAATGAAATCAAATGGCAACAAAAACAAAGAGAACAATAGCAGCAATACTAATTATAACCGTGAACGTTCGCCAAGAATGCTCTCTCTCAAAGTATAAAAACTAAATTGTTTATATTTTTAATTCATCTTTTGAAAGTTTTTTTAATTACGATTTTGTTTAAAATGTTTTTTAAAATATTTTTTCTGTAGCACCAACATAAAAACAGCAGGGCTTGTGCTATGGAACTTGATGAAGCATCATCATGTTCCTCGTCTGTCTCTTCAGCATCATCTAAAGTTCCTTCCAGATTTCAGCCTTCTCGTTCACCCAACAATCCTTCTTTTGCTGGTTTACCGGTTAATACTCCGTATCTGGGTCCATCACTTTCACCAGTCTCTTCACCTCAATGGAGATTGACTGCCGGCGCCAGTAGCCCTGGAGCAACAGCTTCTGGAAGAGCAGTTCCCAAGTCTGCACTGATTATGTCTAGGATTCTTAACTCTAGAGTAAGCTTTAAATTTTCTAGTTTTGTAACTTAAAATATGGATTGACATTATTTAGAGTACTGGAATACCGAATATGGAACCAGTACATGCAGATGCCAAGGACATGTTAGAAAAGACCATTTCAGATGGCAGAACACTTGCGGAGCAATCGGCCAATCACAAAGTCATTGATTTGCCCTATCAGCAGTCTCCAAAACATTCACCTTCATTGGTTCCATTGATATTGCAGACAGAAGACGTGAAAGATGATGAACTATTAATAGAAATAAAAACGACAGATTGTATTTTCAATTTTGAAGACATTTTTGAGGATGAAATAGAGAAAGAAACGGTAAATGAAAATATAGATGAATGTAACAGAGGAAAAAGAGTGGATTTGAATTTGACTGAATCTGTGATAAATGAGGAACCTGATGTCTTTATTGAAGGGAAAAATACTAACAATAAGCCTGAAGGGATAATCAAAGAAGAAAAGGAAGAAAAACTAAAGGAAAATGAAGTACAGGGAGGGTCAGATATAGCAATAAATGTTCCCGAAAAGAAACGAAATTCTAATGAAGAAATTAAAGGGAAAAGTTCAACTGTAAAGAAAAATAGAAGGGAAAAAGGTCGAAAATCAAAGGAAGGAAGAGTAAAGGAAGGGAAAACAAAGGAGGAAGGATTAAAGGATAATAAGGTTAAAGATGAATTTTTAAATAAATTAGAGAAGGAAGTGGATGTTTTGGTTGATTTTGCATTTACAGCTAAAGATCTCACTGCGCAAGTTGAGCGAATCATTTTTACTTCAATTTCAGGCATTCTTAAAGTTTTGATTTCTAAATTAGTTGTCATTTTTAGAAAAATGTTCACTTAAAAGTGTGCCAATACCCAAGAAAAAGGAAGTATTGTTGGAAGATGTGGTGGAAGGTAGCATGCAGAAAATGAAAGAATCTAAGGCACTTACAGTTGTTGATCCGTCGATGAATAACAACGAAAACAAACAGTCTTTTCTTGAAAAGGAAATTCGTCAAGAAAAATTATCGAATAAGGAAAAACAAATCAAAGATAAATATCTAGAAAAAGTTCTGACAACAGACAGACCAACCGAAGAAAGAATAGAGAAGGGAAAGAAAGGCAAATCCTCCAAAAGAAAGGGAAAGAAATTTAAAGATGCAGGCCGGAAGATGCCTCCTCTACCTTCATTACAATCCATTAATCAACAAAATAATTTGGAGAAAAACGAAACAAATGAAGATTTGCTTACAAGTCCCTGCTCAACTGTATCTTCTCCACCTGCTTTACCTCCCTCTTGTTCATCATCAACGACATTTCCACAAGCGCTAGTGAGGAGAGACGAACAAAGTGCTCGACAAAACTCTTCCTCGATCGGTCGAATGGTTTGTCTTTTAATCTGAATTAAATATTGATTATGTTGTGAAATTTCATAAAACAAGGCTCGCAATAAGCTCGTTTATCACTACAATTTTTCTCTAATAGATTGGACGCTGGCGGCATACAACTGGTGGTATACAATTACGTAACATAACTCTTTCCGGAGTTTGGGAGAAACTTGCGCTTGGAATTCGTTCAGATGGTCGAGAAGCTTTCCGAACTTCATCTGTACAACTTGGTGATAACAGGAGGTAACTTTAATCTTTTTGTTTATTTTCTCCTTTTTTGAAATTTTATCAGTACTTTTACATTTTTGCTCGTTAAAGTCGTTTTGTTTCTGTTATTTTTTGGATTATTATCAGTAGTATTTTTCAAAAATATTAGATTATTTTCAAAAACAGGAGACCGGAAACATGGATGATATAAATTTATAATTCAGTTCCTTCTTAATGCAATTTTTTGTCTCCTTCCGATTTTCTTTCTATTCTTCCTATAACAGTCATTTCCTTCCTCCGATTTCATCCATTTCCGGTGGAAATAATAGAGCGAAATGTGAAGCAAAAGGGAGCAAAATACAGAGGGTCCAAAATGCAGGACAGTAGTGACTCTTCTCTTCTCTCTTTTAGGATTTATGTAAATATCGAGATTTAAAAAACAACAAAAATTCCATTAGCTGAATGATTTTTTACAATTGTTAAAAACAATTGTAACGCAATTTATGATAAATTCCATCTTTAGTATTCTATATTGTTTTGATGAATTTACTTTCATTCATTTTTGCTTTAATATCTTCAACACATCATCCATTATTTTTATACATAGTTGCAATTATTTTATCTCTCACGTGCCATCCACCTTCATCCTCTCATTTTTACATCAGATTTTGGTTTAGAGCCAAATTGCTTTCTGAGCAATTTGGGAAAAAAAGTATATACATTTGTGGATTTTCGGCAACTGCTTTCACTACTCAAATTTCTTTCCTGCATTATCCACTTACACTATCGGCGGCTGTTCTTTTCAATGCAAGATATTATTTTTTTAGCTATGTATCCTAACTCTAATCTACCATTGAGTTCCTAAATAGTAACTAAATTGAGGTAAAATAATCTATAATAGATAAGGCTCAAATATTGTCACTTACACAAACTCTTAAATTTTACGTGCCCGCTCAACTCATCTAATACTTAACTCATCCACACGCCCAAAAACGCTCAACTCATCTAAACGGCTAAAATTCCTTAACTCATCCACACGGCCAAAAACGCTCAACTCATCCAATCCTCAACTCATCTAATGCTTAACTCATCCATACGCCCAAAAACGCTCAACTCATCCAATCCTCAACTCATCTAATGCTTAACTCATCTACACGGCCAAAAACGCTCAACTCATCCAATCCTTTGGAACGAGACTATTGAGTACCAGTCGTTTGAGTCCCTGGCCGTTTGAGTCTCTGGCCGTCTGAGTCCATGACCAGTTGAGTCTCTGGCCGTCTGAGTCTCTGGCCGTCTGAGTCCATGACCAGTTGAGTCTCTGGCCGTTTGAGTCCATGACCAGTTGAGTCTCTGGCCGTTTGAGTCCATGACCAGTTGAGTCCCTGGCCGTTTGAGTCCATGACCAGTTGAGTCTCTAGCCGGTTAAGTCCCTGGTCAGTTGAGTCCCGGCCGTTTGAGTGGTTGATTACCGCCGGTTGAGTCTTGGGCCGGTTGAGACTCAACTGACCAGGGACTCACCCGGCTAGGGACTCAACCGGCCGATATTTCAAGGATTGGATGCAGTGATGCGGGGGTTCCGGTTCCGGTTCCGGAACCGGTGCGGTTCCGGTTCCGGTTCCGGAAGTGGAACCGTGGAACCGGTAAAAGTCCGGAACCGGTTTGGAACCGGAACCGTGGAACCGGTAAAGGCCCGGAACCGGTTTGGAACCGGAACCGTGGAACCGGTAAAGGTCCAGAACCGGTTTAGAACCGGTTCCAGAACCGGTTCCAAAGATACACCCCTAATGATGGGTAAAATCAGAGAAATGGGCAAAAGATGGGAGTAGTGAGAAGAAAAGGAAGGGAAAATTGAGACGAGTGAAAAAGATTATCTTTATTTTTTATTCAAAAGATGTGTGGTTGAATGGATATTGTGTTAGGTTCATAGTTTTGAGGAATTATCATTGTGTGAGGTTCGAACCGAACTTAATGAATGACAAAATAATTGTTTTTCTTCAGGAAATAGATTATTATGAACTTATTTATAACAAAAAATTTTGTCATATTTTTAAATACATGAATTCTCAAAATTTTCGCCTGCGGCGCTTAAAAAGGGCAGAAATCTAGTGCTTGGCCTTCCAAAATCCTTAAAATTTTCGCCTGCGGCGCAGAAAAGAGAAGAAATCTGGTGACTTGTCCTTCCAAATTTAACAAATTCTCGCCTGCGGCGTTTAAACCCCGTTTTCCGTTTAATTGTTGTTGTTCAATTGCGTCCACCCTGACCCGGATCCGAAATTTTCGAGTCACCCAAAAATGTTTGGTCCCTTTTTCGATTTTCGGAGGCCTATATCTCTGCGAGTTTTTGTCTCCTGCAAGAAATTCTTGCATATTTGAACTCAGCTCGAAGAGACGAATTGAATGATATATACTTACAGTTTGGATCTCAGTGGACCTATACTAAGTTAAAGCCAAAATTTTTTGGAACCGGAACCGGTTTGGAACCGGTTCCAGAACCGGAACCGGAACCGGGCAAAATTAAAAAAGCGGTTCCAGAACCGGAACCGGAACCGCCAAAATTAAAAAATCGGTTCCAGAACCGGAACCGGAACCGGGCAAAATTGAAAGAGCGGTTCCAGAACCGGAACCGGAACCGGGCACATTTTGGAATTTCCGCATCACTGATTGGATGAGTTGAGCGTTTTTGGGGGTGTGGATGAGTTAAGCATTAGATGAGTTGAGGATTGGATGAGTTGAGCGTTTTTGGGCGTGTGGATGAGTTTAGCATTAGATGAGTTGAGGATTGGATGAGTTGAGCGTTTTTGGCCGTGTGGATGAGTTAAGTGTTAGATGAGTTAAGGATTGGATGAGTTGTAGGGTAGCCAAATTTTATATGAAATTCAAAAGAAATTTTGTAGTTACTAAAAGATTTATTTCCTTTCATATTCAAGGTTTTTTAATAAATATTGAGTGAACAAAATTTTAAATTATGCATATAATCAACTATTTTTAAAGTTGAAGAGGATAGTTCCGCGTTGTAATTTCTCCGCCCTTGTTTTTTCCCTCATCATTGATCTTTCAACTTTTAATACATTTTGTGTGTAAAATTTTTATAAATTTTTTAAAACTTTTGCTTATAATCTACATATTTGTACGTATCCATTCTGAAATTCTGTATCTTAGATTGTTATTGTAACTTATGTAACGTTTTCCAAAAATAAACTTTCGCAAGCTGTTATTTGGTTAATCGATAGGTGTCCCTATATCTACACTTAAACATTGAGCTTTTAATTGGCTGTTAGCTCTATTCTTATGCTATATTTTTTCTCTCCTACCGCATTTGATATCCAATAGTAAATATTTAAAATTTAGAGGGTATAACCCTGTTAAAAATTCCAGGACAGATTTTAAGATTGATCCAATTTCAAGTAATCCTAGAATCGTGGTAGTGTCCCACATTTTATCATGTTGCCCATTATCTCTATTTTTCAGTTTCTTAAAAATTTTTTAAATAAATTTACTCTAAAAAATTTAGTTATGTATTTTCATAAATTTATGTAATGACTGCTAAAGATTTTAGATACAATATGGAAGAAGTGCTCCCGCTTATTCACTACAGGCCTCTTTACCAAAATCTTATACGTTCACTTCATTTTTCTCCTGCTTCACATTCTCTAATTTCTTTAATGCAGTGTCTTCCAGTATGATTTTTTAAAGAATATTTTAATATGAATTAAATTGAAATAATTTTAGATTGATATAGAAAATTTGGCGAAACCTTTGATGAAGATTTTCATTCATTCCAATCAAATACGTCAATTCTTTCGATTAATTTGCTTTGAATACCTTTCCAATTGCAGGTTACTATTATGTTATTAAGGATTCTCGTCCATATAGTTTTTGGGTACTTGTTGATTATCCCAAGCCAGTTTTTTGTATACGCGAACTCACCATAAAAGGGACTCATAATGGTCAGAGCATCCATACCTTCCCTTCCTATATTCAATGTATTCGAGGAATTGATATCTGACCATGAGCCGCATAAATATGTCCGCAAAAACTGTTTTGGGATAACCCGTAAGCACCTTTCTTATAATAGCAAAACTGCCTTCTAATTTTACAGTGATGTAAATACATTGTTTCGGAGTCAATCGCTTGCCTCAAAAGTTATGTATGAAATGATGAAATGTGTTGGCCACAAGTACTTGGTCGTCACATTAATGCCACTTATTGACTTGGTAATTTTTTATTTTCTTTTTTCATTTTTGTATTTGAAGATTTTTGCCGAAAGGAAATCCTGCGAAATTGATCCATCGAAGCTGAGACAAGGGGAATCTCTTGATCAAAACTTGGTAAGATTTTTTCAGAGAATCGATATAATTAGAATTTTGCAGCATAACATAACTGTCTATGCAGAGTTCGCGTTTACCGGAGTTGTAGACTCGTCGCAGCGATGTCCATCCGCGTTACGCGAACTTTTTGCTGAGTTGAGGGATGTTGTTGAACAATTTTTCCCAGGCAGGGATGATGTTGGACGTTTAGCACTTTCTTCATTCCTCATTTTACGTTTCTTTGCAGCTGCAATTCTAAATCCAAAACTTTTTGCTTTGAAGATGGCTACACCGGTTATTATTTTTATTTATTACATAAAATAATTAACATTCATTTTAGGACGTAAATGTTTCTCGTACATTGGTTCTTGTCTCAAAGATTCTTCAACGGGTTGCAAATTGTGTTGTTTCTGCTAATCCTCCAACAATTAAAGAGCAGTTAGTTTATTATTTATATTAAAATTAATTAACATTACATATATAATCAGATGGTTGGCGCCTGTGATGGATCATTTTTTGGATGAAGCACACAATAAAGCAATGATTGATTTTTTAGACGAAATCTCTACGTCATTTACGGAGACTGAGGAGGGAGGAGGTGTTAATACAAATTCTCAAGATGCTATAGTTAACGATGAATCGGATGCATTTTCTTCATCAACAAACATATCGTCGTCTCCTGTAATGGATATTGAAAAGGAACTACATATTGTTTACAGCCAAATTGCTGATCATTTAGATACGCTTTGTAGTATGGGTTGGTGCTGTCGATATGGATGCTCTTGTTGTTCTGATACGATTGTCCAGTAAATTTTGTCTTTCAATTCAATTTTTTGTTTATAATTATAATGAACTCAAAAAATGAAGAAAATTTAAAGACAATCATTTTAAAAATCCAGAAAATCATATATCCTTGACAGGATTGTGTTTGCCTTGCCAAAAATTTATTTTTAGTTTACCAGTAAGGATCATAACTTTTTTGCCTTATATTATTTTAATTATTTATTTTTGTCTGATGTTTTTATCTATTTTCTGGCACATTTTTCCTAATCAATTTATCTTTCATGATTTTAATTATATTTTTTGCTGCATTTACGTGCCTCGACTAAATGAATTTTATCTCAGATGAATGACTCTCATATATTAAAAACCTCATATATGTATCATTATAAAACTTTCAATGAAATATTTTATGGATTAATTTACAAAAGTAGTAGCTTCTTTTCTTAGTAGTAGCTTCTATCATTTAAAACAGGAGTAAAGTATTAAAATTAATAAATTAAACGATTTATAGGTTTTAAAAATTTCGAAATTCATATAAAAACATTTAGGGGTTTCAAGCTATTTTAGAATCTATTAATCACGATTCATACTTTGAGTGGCAGCGAACGCAGCGAATCGTTGTTTCGCTAGAGCAAGCATTTCCTCACAATGCTGAATCTGAAACATTTGTGGTTTATTTTAAAGTTTATTACAAAAATACATAATTTGAGCCATATTGTTTTTTGCACTCCGCTAATTGTTCATTCTCAAATCTAGTCAATGTTTCATTCATTCGATAAATCTGAAAATTAAAAATTAAATCGAACGAGGCCTTCGAGAAAAATTAACCTTTTGCCTCATTTCAGGTATTTTAGGCGGAAAGCATTGCCAAAAATGTCGAAGCAGTTCAGTCAATCCGGAATGCACTATCCTAATCCTTTCAATGTCTGATCGACTCAACCCTTGAAAAATATAGATCTAGTAAAAGTTATAAATTAACCTGTGAAATTAATAGATGTGGTTGAATCAGGCTCTGATTGATGAGCAGAAAGAGGATCAATAAAATTTACTGCAAGGTTATCGAAGAAAGTAAATTGATTCTTCTAAATTTTTGATTTATAGAAATTTAATTAGAATTCTACTTTACCTCTTCAAATATACTGGTTGTCGTCTCAAGTGCATTAGTCAAGGAATACTTTGTTAGTTGAATTTGATCAGGAGGTATACAACTCTCATGTTCTTTTTGCAGAGGATTATAAGCAGATAATGGGCAATATAGCTGGTCACTAAAATGATGTAATTAATAATTAACTCAAATTAACAAATACTTTGGTTTGTCAAATTCCGCCAAGTCTTGACTTTCAAGTTCCAAATCGCAGGTTCGTTCTTGTATGGTTGAGTTATTCTTTGTTGAATTTTCAACTTCATGACTGAAAGCACCCTATAAAAAGACTGATAACTACCTAATACCTTTAAATGCTTTGTTTAAAAAATCAAAGGAAATAATTTTCTCAAATTTTAAGGAGTAAAAATTACATTTTCGGAAGTGTCTTGTTGTAGTCCATCCAAACCATTCTTCTTTAATTGCGAATTAAAAGCACTTCCCAAATCTTCCTCCATCGTACATAAAATTCGTTCCGAGTGATAATTGCATCGTCGGACAAGAAGTCGTTTTGCATCTGAAGAACCACGTAATGAATTTTGATTGGAACGCTTAGAAATAATATTTTTAATTAAAACTAAATTTTTATTAAATTTTACCATGTCAGATAGAATTCCAAGATCCTCGTTGAGTGAAGTTAGGTCTAAAGTGCGCTTTAAGTTGCTCCGTCCTTTCTCCAAAAGTTCCTGCATACCTTAAAATAATTAAAGTTCAGAACGATTTAAAAAGAAAATAATACTTTTCTCGTCCATCTTCACACAATCCGCAAAAGTATCGTGAGTCGAAGAAGTACTAGGTTCAGCTGGATTTCTCTCACGATGGAAATAATGAGATTGAAAGAAATGAGACCAAAATTCTTGTTCGGTTAGTTCATGTGGTACTAATTCCAAATGCTTTCGTTCCACTGAAAACGATTAACTAATGGGCATTTATTTAAAAAAAACCTGCAGGATATGTGCGGAAAATAGACTGAATTGTTTCTGTTGTGAGATTTAGCCTAATACCACCTCCAATACTATCAGATTGAACAATTGAACTCAAGAAACCACCAGAAATTCCTACTCTTTGCTGTGATTCCTCTTCGACGGACAAAGATTTCTGCCGTTTAATTTATTTAAAAATAAAAATTGAAAACCGGATTGTAATGAAGTGACCAGAAATCTTGCGAGGATATAAGTTTTTCCCTCACCAAGTACAAATATAGTTGGTGTAAATGTGCATTTTGCTCCAATATTTTGATTTTCTCTTCTTGATCTTTACTTGCACTGCTTTTGGCCGATTTTTGAGCCAACTACAAATAAAAAATAATTTAATCAAGAAGTAACAAATGTAACCATTTGACGATGACGAACCAACGCCTGTTGGAGCAGTTCTTTAACTGTATCGCGCTCCTGAAGAAGTTGCTCTTGACTGCTTTTTGAATTCATAAAAACAAAAGTTGCTTGGTCTTCATCAATCATGCAAAGTTGCAGTTGAACCTTTGGCTTATTAGGAGGTGAAATTCGTTGACCTATTTTTTGAAAGAATGTTCAAAAAAATGAAAGAAAAGTAAACTTAAATGTCACAAACCTTTAATTTGGGATAGATGAACAACCATTTTATCTGAAGAATCCGAGTCACTTATCCATTCAACGCGATCATCGTAAATATAAAATTCTCCAAGTGGAGACTTTCCAGGCCCAGTCTTCCTGTATTTAACTTGCTCTACTTGAAGTAGCAGAGACGAGTCTCCATTTTCGTCTTTCCTCGCTTGTCCATGCATAATAATAGACTTTTAAGGATATCTCCTGAAAAAAAACTCTAAAAAACAAAAAATGAAATTGCGAAAAGATTTTTCGAATTTTTGCAGCCAGAAAACGAATTTTCTAAAAACAAATTTACATTTTCCACAGTATGTGTCTTGAAATATTATAACTAGTTGCCACTTTGATATTCACCAATTTGAAGTTTCCAAATTAATTTTGTGAGAAATTCCCACTCAAAATTATTGAAGCTTAATTTGGCTTCGGTTTTTATTTTTTTTTATACCGAGATCTCGGGGGATTTTATGCCGGTTTTTTTCTTTTTTCTTTTTATTTAACGTTTTTTATGTTCTTCATCTGTTTTACTATCTGTTTTATTCGTATTTTTATACGTTTTCCTGCTGCGCGCGCTAAAATTGCATAAAATAAAAATTTTAATTTTTTTTTTGAAAAATAATAATTTTCAATAATTTGAAGGTGCAGGCCTTTCGTGGACGTGCAGATGCTTGGTCTGGTGTTAAAATTTGTTTTTTTTAATTAAAATTTTTAATTTATCAAATTCTTATTTTTCATTTAAAGGCCTGCTCAGCACAGCTCTACATGGCCCTGAAGTGTTCTGCATGGAGCTGCTGACATCCGGTGGTTTTTATTCCTTTTATTTTTTAAAATTAAATTACCTAAATAATTTTTTTTATTTTTATGTATTTTTTGCTTGTGGTGGCGTGTCTCAACATGGATGTTCTTCATGGTCTGGCTGGTTTTCTTTTTATTTTAATTAAATTAAAATAATTTTTTTAATTATTTTTTAATATATTTTTGCCTGTGGTGGATGGTGGCCAACTTGCTATTGGTGGTGGTCAATATGCTACTGTTGGTGGTCAATATGCTAATGGTGGTGGTCAATATGCTAATGGTGGTGGTCAATATGCTACTGTTGGTGGTCAATATGCTTTTGGATGGATTTGGTGGTGGCTGGCTGGTTTTAAAATTTTTAAAAATTTTTAAAATAAATAAAATTAAATTTATTATTTAAAAAAAAATTTTGTTTGCTGTGGTGGTATGGTCAAGATGCTCTTCATGGTGGTGGTCAAAATGCTCCATGGTGGTGGTCAAGATGCTCTTCATGGTGGTGGTCCAAATGCTCTTCATGGTGGTGAACCTTATGGCCCTCTTCCTTGGTAAAAAATATTTTTTATTGAAAAATCTAAAATCGGCAAAAAATGCGCACGCGGCTCTCATTTCCTTTTTCTTCATTTTCTTGTCCTTGTCTTTTTTGTACAATTTTTATCGAAATTTCGTTTTTATTTGATTTAGCAAGTTATAATTGGGCTGGATATGGAGGAACTGGACAGAATGATGAAATATGGTGGTGTATGAAAATGGGTAATAAAACAGGTTTTTTTTGATATTTTTAGTAGAGGTTTTTTTATATTTGAGGCAACACTGACAATGAGTAGAACACCTTTAGTGGGGTCATGCCACCGATTTGCTCAAAATTTGAATTTTGGCATTCTGTTTGCCAAAAATGACATTTTGTCCCAAGTAAGAAATACCACAGGGACAGAGAATCAGAGTAAATCTCCGTTTTTTTGGCATTTTGATTTATGATTAAGTATTTACGTAAAAATTTTTCAGATTTTTTTTGTTTCCTTATGTTTTACAGTCCTTCATCATTTATTGTTAATCCTGTGTAACTAGATTTTTTCAGGATTTTTTAAATCTGATTTATTATTGTCTTCAATTTTCAATTACATTTGGTTTGTTACAGATGTTGTTTGTTAAACAAGTTCAATCAAAAAGAGCTTGGCGATTATTTTTGCGAAGGTCAATCACAACAGGGTATAAAATAGTTGATCATACATTCGATGCTGTCGTCGTTGGCGCAGGTTTTTTTGTAAAATTATTTGATTAGAAATATATATATAACTAAAGGTGGAGCCGGACTTCGTGCGGCTATGGGCCTTGCAGAAGGGGGAATGAAAACCGGTTTGCGCTCACTATTTTATTACTTATTGTTAATATCGGTAATTTAGCTGTTGTAACAAAATTGTTCCCTACTCGTTCACACACCGTTGCCGCGCAGGTAAATATAGTTGCAGCATTTTATAAATATACGTTAAATTTTAGGGAGGGATTAATGCTGCGCTTGGCAATATGAATCCAGATGACTGGCGCTGGCATTTTTACGACACTGTTAAAGGTAAGATTTCAATAATTGATTTTAAAATATATCTCGTTCAGGTAGTGACTGGCTGGGTGACCAGGATGCCATCCATTATATGACTCGCGAAGCTCCAAGAGCTGTCATAGGTATGCCTATATTGTGTACGATATCACAAATAATAAAATCAATTTTTATCTTAAAATAATATTTTACAGAGTTGGAAAACTATGGAATGCCTTTCTCTCGTACAGAGAGCGGCAAGATTTACCAAAGAGCATTTGGAGGCCAAAGTAATGATTTTGGCAGGGGAGGTCAAGCACACAGGTTTATAGCAAATTAATGAAGATACTTTTCAACTAATTTAGGACTTGTTGCGTCGCCGACCGAACTGGTCATTCTCTTTTACATACTTTATATGGAGCCTCGCTTCAATACAGTTGTCAGTATTTTGTTGAATACTTTGCTTTAGACTTGCTAATGGATAAAGAACGTTGTATTGGTGTGATCGCAATGAATTTGGAGGATGGAAGCATTCATCGTTTTCGTGCCTTGAACACTGTTCTTGCAACTGGTGGCTATGGCCGAACTTACTTTAGGTTATACGAAAATTTAATGCATCTCATGAATTTTAAATAAACTGGTTTAGCTGTACCTCTGCCCACACGTGCACTGGAGACGGAACTGCTATGGTTTCAAGAGCTGATTTATGTAATTCTGACATGGAATTTGTAAGTTACATTATACTTCAATTGCATATTTTGTAGGTACAATTTCATCCTACTGGGATTTACGGTGCTGGATGTTTGATTACAGAAGGATCAAGAGGCATGCGTTATACTTACAATTAGTTTTATTCGATAAATTTGTTCATTTAAGGAGAAGGGGGTTTTCTTATTAACAGCGAAGGTGAACGATTTATGGAAAGATATGCACCCATTGCAAAGGATTTAGCTTCACGTGACGTAGTATCTAGGTTTAAACAATAGCAAATTTTATCATTTTATTTCTAGATCAATGACTATTGAAATAATGGAAGGCCGGGGAGTGGGACCAGATAAAGATCACATATATTTACAACTCCATCATCTACCGGCTGAGCAGTTGAATAAACGTCTTCCAGGTTTATACTTACTAGAATATTTAGAAATCATTGTTTTCGTATAATGTCTAGTTAAAATGTTGTATCACTCTAGATTTTAGCTTACAACTAATTTCCTATACTTATTAAATTTTTGTAATTTTCAAATTATTTCTGGAATATTTCTAGGAATTTCTGAAACAGCAAAGATATTTGCTGGTGTAGATGTCACTAAAGAACCCATTCCTGTACTTCCGACTGTTCATTATAATATGGGTGGTACTCCGACAAATTACAAAGGCCAGGTTGTCAAATATACAAAGGATAAAGGCGATCAGGTTTCTAGCAATCTTGTTGATATATTTTTTTTGTATTTTTCAGATTGTTTTGGGATTATGGGCTGCTGGAGAGTGTGCTGCCCATTCTGTCCATGGAGCAAATCGTCTGGGTGCAAACTCATTGCTTGACTTGGTTATATTTGGTCGAGCGTGTGCATTGAAGTTTATAATGAAATTTGAAAATAGAATTAATTTGCTTTTAGCATTTTGTCACAAAACAAATCTGGCGATCCTGTTCCTGATCTGCCGCCAAATGCTGGCGAAGTATCAATTGCGAATTTAGACAAATTGCGAAGTGAACGTAAAGGTGCTGACATCCCTACAGCTCAGTTGAGACTTGAAATGCAAAGGACAATGCAAAAGCACGCAGCGGTTTTCCGTACTGGTACAATTCTTCAGGTACTAGCACTAAAAATTTTTTTATACAGTTTGAATTTTTTCAGCAAGGAATTGAAAAGATTAATAATCTCTATTCTCAATTAAAACACGTGCATATTTCTGATCGCACTCTGATTTGGAATTCTGATCTAATAGAAACACTTGAATTACAAAATCTTCTTGCTAATGCAATGCAGACTATTGTGGCAGCTGAGAATCGCAAGGAATCTCGAGGAGCACACGCTCGGGATGATTATCCAGTAATATTTTTTCTGGTATTAAGTAATTTAAAAATATTATAGAATCGAAGTGATGAATTTGACTACTCCAAGGCATTAGAAGGTCAAAAGAAGAAAACCCATGACGAACACTGGCGAAAACATAGCATAATATATCAAGACACTGAAAGTGGAAAAGTATAAATAATATGATTATTAAATTTAACGATAAATCATTTGAAGGTTACACTTGAGTATAGGCCAGTGATTGACAACACATTAGACAAAACTGAATGTGAATGGATCCCTCCGAAGTTGCGAAGTTATTGATACATCGACGTTGATTTATTTTTTAATTAATTGTTTACATCTAGGTGTTTATTATCTTTTAGCTATTTTAAATTGCTTATAATGGATGTAATATTGTTTTTGCTTATAGTCATTAAATTTTGTTTTTACGATTGATTTTCAGAGGATTCGTTGGTTTATATACGAATTTAATATCTTTCGATTTATTGTCATCGTTTCATTTATTGATCATATCAATGATTTTTTAAAATTTTTTGACAAATCCCTTTACAAAATCAATAGAATTGATGAAAGTTTCCGCAATTACTGACAGCAAGGAATTTTTGGAGAAAATTAAAGTCAGAACGAAATTTGAGGTTTTTGCTACTAGTTTTAAAGATAACAGTCGTTTCAGATTACTTTAATCGAGTGGAATCCCAAATTTGATCTTATAGCCCTTGGCTCTAAAGATGGTGACCTTATGGTTAAGCGTTATCCTTGGAAAACAGGATGGAAGGTTTTATAAATTTGGGAAATTAGTTTATAAAATTTCTAGAGAAACTTTTCGAGACAACTGCCGCTTACACAATTTTCCGCATTGATTGCTGGCGAGTCTGAATATTCATCAAAACAATCTAAAAATGAGATGGTATCGTTATGTTGGTCTCCAGATGGGCAAATCCTGCTTTCGGCATTTTCCAGTGGACATTGCTTTTATTTGGATACTCAAAATGGAAACGTCTTATTTTCTCGATTGATTGAATATGCACCTAAAGAAATTAAATGGATTAAGTATCGGCCTAGTTGTCATACCCTGGAAATTGATAACGATCCTACGGTTTTTTTAATGATTAGGAGGATTAACCATCAAAATTTAGATTTCAGCTGCTGATTTTAATTTTTGTGATGATGCATCTAAAGAGCACGCAGTGGTTTGTGAGGAGGTAGAGCAATTTTGCAAAAAGTCCTTTAATCAATCACTTGTTGGAACCTTTCTTTGTATTCTTCATGAAATGAACAAAGCAGAAATTGATGGAACACATTCTTTGGTATTGGATATTCTAGCAAACGGCGTTTTACTTGTTCTCAAAATAAATTTAAGTAGGTTTTCATTATTTCAGAATAAACTTGGCATACTTAATTGTTTTTTCTGAGATAAATTTTAAACTTATAGTACAATTAGTAATGTCAATATTATTTTCAGCTCATGCTCCAGTCAACACTTCTGTTTTTTCTATACGAACATTGTTGGTTAGAAAGAACTGTATCCGAATTCCGTTGAAAATTGATGATGTTAATCCATCACTTTCAAACAAAGAATTTCTTGAGATTGCTGGGCCGATTAGTCCAGAAAGAATGTGCATTTACAACCAGATATCCAAATCGTATAAATTTTTAATGAAGAATTATTTATCTTACACTTAACATCTTATTTTAAGACTATGTTGTATCTCATTTTATTGTATTTATTTGCAAGAGATGCTTAAATATTGTACGAGCAATTGGCAACAATCAAGTGAGGTTATCTATTTATTAATATTTTTATATCAAGTTTCTTAATTCCGTTGCAGGCGTTCCACCAACGCGTGTTTGCCTTCGTAAACAACAATAACCCAGCAGGAATTCTCACAGAATCTAGACCAAAACAAAAGGACGGAAGCGAGGGTGCTTTACTTATGTGTAATGATTTGTTAATGTTAATTGAGACAGAACAATCATCAGATTTATTGAACAATTTTTTTAATTCACCAACTTCGTATAAAGAGATGAAACAGGCATGCAGCTTCTTAGATGATTATTCGTGGGTTTTATGTATTTTATATTTATTATATGAATCTAGGGATTGATAATTTGTCTAACGCATCTAGTAGCTGCGTTTAATGCTTTGATAAGTCGGGGGAGGAGGGATTAGTATATACATATTTTGTATTTTACAATTTCTTTGCAAATCTTTTTCCTCCGCACAAATACAAATTTTCGTTACCAGAAAAATTCCTCCCACCAAATTTTCGTTTATAATTTAGTCAGTGAAACATTAACTAGTAGTGTCAAATCATAACGATATTCAACTTCCAATATTTAGATCATTAATAAAAGGCATCTCATCTGGAGTTTTTCCTGCTTCACAACAACTCGGACATGAAATTCGAGTATTGCATGCCTATTTTACAACTCTATCAACAAATATGGAAGACGATAATGAAGAAGAATTTGATCCAGTTCCAATGTATTACCTTTCATTACAAATGCTTCAACAAAAATTTTAAATTTAAGGTTGTTGGACACTCTTTTAAAAATTGCTTCAGGACATACAGCATTCAGTTTAACTTTGGGTTTGACGCAAAATTTCCACCAATTTTTTGATCAATTCGAACATTCTGTTTATTTGCTTGAGCAAAAACTACAAAACATTTTGCAAGTTGCAGATAAAAATAGGCAGGTTTCATACAGAATAAATTCTAAGAAAACATTTTGTTTATATACCGAAAAAGATTCAAATTTACTACAGGACTGAATTAAAACAATTTCTTAATTGGTTGCTTGCTTTAATATGTGATGAAGCATCTGACAAATGCGACGAAGCATCTCCAGATGAATCAAAATTTGATTTAAAACAATTAAGCCAGGTGTTATATTTTAATAATACGCTTTATGTTACGCTGAATAAATTGCCTACCAAGTTTAAAAAAATGCCGTAACGAGATCACAATTTATAAACTTGAAAATATATTTCGACTAAATTAATCCTCACGTCTAATCTTATATAAATTTTATTAAGTTTCTTGACGAGATCGTGCAACATTCTGGATTAAATGATTCAGACAGTGGAAGATTTATTTTGGATAGGGTTATCCCTTATTTGTTTGTTTACAACTGTCAACAAAAAATCCAACAGCCAACTATTGAACAGCAAATGCAACTTTGTTTTCAACATTTTAAAATCTTTTTCAAAGACGGGCTCACAAAATTGTAAGCTTATATTTAGGTTTCAAAATTCCCAATTGTTGTGTATTTTAGTTTCAATATGCCAGAGAGCTGCAATATATTTGTCGAAGATAAAGAAGAACTAGATGATGAAGAAGAAACTTATAATAGTGATGAATAAGCTTATAAAAGAATGGATTGGCTCTTTGATAAATTTATTTGATATTAAATCTGCCGTGGATTTAGCGCAGTATGTATTCCTTTAGCAGCTTGAAGCAAATAAATACGTCATTTTCTACGCGTGTGAATTTTGCATGTTGTGAGTTTTTTTAATTTTATTTTTCCTAATACATGTGGTGTTTTGCTAAAGTGCAATGAAGATGAATATCATTTTTCATGCTGAAACTATTTTCATTTTTAACTAGTAATAATGGGTTCTGTAAATATAGATATATTTAATCTAATAATAGAAATAATAACATCTCCATAGGTACATTTTTGTTTCAATATATGTATGTATAGGTAAATACCTAGTTGGTTTTTTGGGTTATTTATTCCAGCTTTGCACACTTACTAGAATAGAATGGCACTCCATTGCATCATAATAAAGTTTAAAGAAAAAATTATTCCTAAAAATAGAAATTCTCCTGCTGTGGAGCCATTTTTTCATTCAATTTTTTCTTAAACTGTTGGATTAAATTATAAACTAAAATGGAAACCGAAATTAACCTTTTTTCACTCTGAAAATCTCACTGTTTATGCTTACTGTTATTTTGACTATCTTAAAATCTCGTTGTCATTTTTTTTGAAATTTTTACTGTCCACTTACTACGAAGCTAAATCCCGCTTGGTTATGTTTCATTTATTGGCTATTATTCTTAAAAATCCTTTCTTTCTATTTCTAAGTTTATATATGTATATGTACATATAAACAATTGTTTCTTATGTTATTGGTTTCAAGGTTAGCAAAATGTCAAATTAAGCTTATTTCCGAAAACATTTGCAGGAAAGAAAAACGTCACATTATACTCTTCCGGAGTAAGAATATAATGTTAATCATGAATCTAGCACGAAATCCCAGACACATGATTAAAATTAATAATGCGCACTTTTTGCTTTCAATATGTGACTATACATATTTTTTAATAAAATTTAACAGACTTGCAGCATCGTATAGCGCATTTAATAATTTCCGGCACAAAAAATAGAAATAAATAAGGCTCACTTCATGATATCTTAGATTTTTTTCATTTTTACAATTTTAAATACGTTTTATTTTCTTTAATATTTCACTTTCTCTACTATCTTAAAATTGGATTTTCTTCAAATTTTCATTATCTGTTCAAGATAACACTTTTTCACAAGATTTTTCGAATTAAAAATGTAACTGAAAAATTAAGTAATTTAATCTATTTTTGAAAATTTCTCATAGAAATATAAATTTTATGTGAAAATCTATAAAGTCAGGCTAATTGCGATTTGCAAGGTTGTTTCTATTTTCGAGCAATATTGAATTTTTATTTTGAATCCTAATAGATTAATATTTAAAGTTAGATATCAATTTTTCAATTGCTTTTCATGCACTACTAATTTTCTTGTTTTAGTTATGTAAACAAAATTTATTCCCAGAGTTTAATTTAAAATTTCTTCCTTTTAATGGGAAAATGAATTAGAAATGTTATGAATTAGAATCCTTAAGTTGGCGCACTTTTTAGAATTATATCTTTTCTATAAATTAGAAGAATTAGAAATAATAGAATGCATGTCATTTTATTTTTCCTTTCTTTTTTACCATTTCTAAACATACTTTAAATTTAGTTTAAGAGTTGGGCGTGTGTGTTGTCATTTTTTCAAACTACGTGAGTAACTTGTAGCTTTTCATTTCTTTTACTCTCAGTAATCGTAAAATAAACCACGTGCGCGTCTTTAAAGCAACAGAACCACGAATTTTGTGAAAAGGAATCCGGAGTTTGAACCGAAAAAAAAAACTTAGTTTTTATTCCCAGATGGATTGTTTATCCCTTGCATCTGTGCCTATGTTTATATATAACTAATTTAGTAAATTACTTTGAATAAGAACAATGTTTAAAAATATAGCAATACCAATTAATATTGTTACTTGTCACTTTAAACTTTTTGTGTTTGTTTTTTGGGGTGAGCTATAATATTGTTATTATTTAAAAAATTAAGTACACTTTTAAATGGTTTTCTTTATGAAAGTAATCAGTAAAAGTGCAATTGTTATTTTCCTTTGGCATTCTTTTTAAATTCAAGAAATAAAATGCCAGAGGCGTATAGGCTAAATTCATTTTTCTGAATTAAAGTTTAGTTTGAGTACTCACCTCGTTTATTTATTCTATTGCAAAAAATTCATTTCATTGCAAAAATAAGCTAATATGGCTCTAATTATTTTTATTATTTTGCACATTGTTAGATTCATAATCCTGTTATTTTATTATTTTTTTAAATACTTAGAATCGTGTTTGAAATATAATTTTTATAATTTATTGTTTGCTAAAATATCACTAAAAATAATTCCAGAACATCTTTATTTGTACTAACAAATATAAACTGATCAAATAATTCATTATCATCATTAAATAATTCTTTCATTAATTGAAATGAATTCATTCAATCTAATGTTAGCCGCACTTGTTGTGCTCAGCTTACTCTGTGGTCACTGTAATCTTGCGAAACCCACAGGGTCAATGACCAGAATTCAGGTTTGGTTTACTATAAGAAATCATTTTTTTCTCATTGTTTTAATATAACGATTGAACTAAATCATAGGAAGTATTTCGGACACTGATGGCTAAGCCTATGATGCTTGCCTCTCGAGGAAAGAAATCTCTCGTTGCATTTCCAAACGCGGAAGAATATTTAATAGATCAAGAAAACCAAGAATATGCCAAAGGAACAAGTGGCAGACGTTCGTTTAGTTATTCTTCATATTGGTTGCTGGCCGATGTGAGATCACCAGTTTATGCCGTTACACTGAACGTGAGGCGATGAAATCTAACTATGAGTTCATTGATAATGATTTAATAAGCTTAAATTCGTTAAGTCTAAAACTGCTGTTTTTCTTCTACATATTTACAACATATTAAATTTATTTTTGAAATGCATAGCATTATTCTTTAGGTTCAGGAAAATGCGTTATTAATCACAAATAGATATGATACTTAAGAAGTACTCTTTCCTACAATTACGAAGAAAATTTGGCCTGTGATTTAGACTCACAAATTGAACTACAAGAATATAACTTTTTGACAATTATGTCTATGGAACAGTAATTCATAATGAGCGAAGGCGTAATATGTATATCTTTTATTTTGAACCTGCTCTTAACTTTATTTAACTATAACTTCTTATAAGCTGGAATGCTTCTATTGAACTAACTTTTACTAATAAATATGAGAAAAAATTATTAATCTTCACAGCATTTTCCAAAATTTCCATAAATATTCCGAAATCGTCTATGGAGTAGAAACCAAAGAAGATTTGGTGTGGCAAGACGAAGACTTAGCTAAAATTGACTTGTTTTATCTTTTAAAGAAAAATTACAAATTGAAAAATAAAAACTCGCCAGTAAACGTGGAATGAATGGTGCCAACAATAGGTCTGTTTCACGACGTTCAATAGCTGCAACAATTTCGCGTGCTGAATATTCAGGACTCATTCCAGCAACCTAGGAATATTATGTCAAATGCTTGTATAGAGAGATAGACTTGTCCAGGATCTGTTCGACCAATTGTCTTGCCTTTCTCATTTAACGAATTTATTGCCAGGGATGTATTGACATAACCAACACTAATTGTTAAAATATGAAGTTGCGGACGGTCTTCAGCGCGGAGACTGTCGAAGAAACCCTAATGAATCCAGCATTATATTTGGTCCAATTATTTTATCACCTGAGCTGCATGTTTTGAAGCCGAATAAGCTCCTAAATAGGGAAGAGCAACACGTCCAACAATACTACTAACTAGAACGATTGCCCCATCATCAGGAATCCAATCCATAAGTTGTTGGCTGATGGCAACATGACCAAGAAAATTAACGTCAATCATCCGCTTGAGAACGTTAAGATTCATTCGCTGGCCAGAACCGTAAGCCATCTGTCCCGCATTGTTTATTAAAACATCCAATTTAGGTTTATTAGGATTAGTATTAGAAAGTAATAATTTAATTGTTTTTACAAATTCTTCCAACTTTTCTTCATTATTTGCAACTTCTTCCAAATCGAGACGAAAAAATGAAGGGCGATAAAGTTTTTCATTGTTACCATTATATTTATTATGAATATCCAATTCAGCACAAATTTTCTCCAGCTGGTCGATAGACCGTGAAGCAAGAATAAGTTTGGCGCCATAAAAATAGATCAGGTTTAGTAAAAAATTTATTAGTATAATTTAAAAACAAATAAATTTAAATGGCTATAATTATGAATTTACTTTTGCATGCATAATACGCGCAATTTCCCGCCCAATACCAGAACTTGCTCCGGTAATCAAGACAGTCTTTCCTTGAAGTTCAAGTCGTGAATGATTGGTAGGGAATGGTAGAAATTTATAAAGCAAATTGCAGAAAATCAAAATCATTAGGATTATTAAGGCAACAAATAAAACATTTTTCATTAAATAAATAAAATTTGGCAATAAAAACATTTTTTCCTGTTATTTTTTGCTTTCTTCAGTAAATATTAATTGAAATAATTAATAGAGTTGTGTACAAATGATTGAGTTTGAGAAGGAAAGGATGCAGTTATATGTATTATTTTTTGCTGTTAAAATTGTGCGGAAAGGTAACATCAAGTTCAAGTGAAAACTTGTTTAACGCTCATTTATTTTTAATATTTTGATTTGAGCAATCAATTTTATTTTTATGTAAAAAAAAATAAAAAAAAAATTTGTGAAAAATAATTTAATGAACTTAATTTCAAAATAATTAACAGGTCATTAAAAAGGTTGTATTTATTTTACACAATTCAGACAATTGAACTTTAGAAAAATGGTCTTTTTTAAAAGGGATTTGCCACTTTTTAAAGTCCTATTTTTTGCTTTGTTTATTTGAAGTTTTATGGTTTTAAGGATTTTGGAGGAAAGCATATTAAGATTTCGTCTGGAGTGGAACAAAAATTTTCTTTATTTGTTATGCTTTTTAATACTATACATAATTATTGTTAAAATTTTCTTTTTTATTTTAATTCTACTTGGCTAAAATTTTGAAAAATACAAAATAGAAGAACGTGTTTGTTTTCCTCTCATTTGTCAGTTTTTTATTTTCTGCTAGCACCATCAGTTAGGGCAATCAGTCAAGCAAGAATGAAAGAAAAAGATAGGTTTGATTCAAGCATTCAGTTCAAGCCTACGTAGAGTGGAAGTCAGCTGTCATCAAGATTAAGAAAAGCTCTTGTTGATAATTTTGCTATTTTCTCTTAGTGTTCATAGAATGAAAGCATTTTAATATTTTTTAGTAAAATGATAAATTTACTGTTACTACCTATGCTTTTACTGAGTATTTTTCCCCTTTTTCAATAATAATTAGTATCAAAAGTTTTAGATTTACAAAGTTAAATTTTAAATTCTGCATCTTAAATTTGTAATGTGTTATGAGCAAATTTTTATACAAATTAGTCTATCTATTAGTCAATTAAATTTTGGCCCATTATTTAGCTTACGCTTTTAGAGAAATTTTAGTGCCAGGAAGGATTGGTTGAGTGGGCTCAGCTGTTCAAACTGAGAAGCATAAAACAATTACAATACTTCACAAAATAAAAATAAACATTCAGTGTTTTTTCTAAAAATTTTATTACAATTTTGTTACAAATAATAGAGTATTTGCTTAAAAATTGCCATTTTAATAACAATTTTGAAATGTGTTAATTTTACAGCTCCCTTTATTAATTTATAACTTATGTTTAATTATAGGCTTCTCTTATTAATATATCTGATTCAAATTTTTGTTTAAATTCCAAAATGGTTGTTGTTATTCATTTGCTCTACAGGATTTTATCGTCGGCAAAGCGAATGCAGGTAAAATCTCTTAATTTTTGGCAGTGGAAAAGGATTATTTAGCTTAAGCTTACCAGCTAAGCTTTCATTTACAAAAATATTTTATTTTTATACTTTCTGGTTATTTTTAGAAAGTGAAGCCTTATACATTGCATTGTTCGCTGCTTGTACTTGTATTTATTTATGCTTTTGTTGGGGGATTAATCTTCAATAAATTGGAAGCACAGGCCACACAGGAACAGTATAAAAAGTTAGGAGTTTGATTTTTCAATCCATTCTATCAATTTTCAGGGAATGGGAGGCAAAAACAGAATGTGTCCACAAGGCTAGTTATTTCCTACAATATTAAAATAACAGCTAAGTTTGTCCTTATAAAAATATTGTCCGATAAAGGTCCTTGAACAAGTACCCTCTTCTCAACCACTAGATGAACAACCAAGGACGGATCGCATTTTGCATTGTTTTCAAAGTGAACCTGATCATCGATCTCAATGGTCATTAAATTATTTTATTTCTAATAAAATAAAATTGAATGCTATAAACAAAGTTAAATGTCTAGGAGTTGGATAACTGGCACACTGTATAGTTTCGGCATTATCACAACACTTGGTGAATCAAAATTATTTGATAAATATCGTGTTTATAAATAAAGGCTACAACAGGATAGGACCAATAACACTGGCAGGCCGGCTTTTTTGTGTTTTTTACGGGATCTGTGGCATTCCTCTAACAATGATTGTTAGTATTTTTAATTTTCTTGTCTATTTTTATTTAAGATAATTGCAAACATCGGTCAATATCTCAACCAATTTGCAAGTGCTACCCGTAGACATGTAAATAATTGTACGAAATATAATATGAAGTTGTTTAATCATGATATAGATTGAAACATACCGAGAGAAGAGGCGACGTTCGCGCGTTACAGGCTCTTCTGGTTTAAGTGCTAGTGAAGAAGAAATTGAGGATTCATCTGTAGAATTTATGTCTCTTGGCCTATTGATATCCTTCTTGTTTTATGTCTGCTTGGGTGCTTTCTTATTGCCACTTCTAAACGGCGAGGCTAGTTAGAGTTTCGATATAAATTTATCAAATTTTTATAATCAAGTAAATTGTTATACTGATTGATAGTGATGTTCGAGAGTCAAAAAATCCCGAGAGTCGAGAGTCGAGACCGAGACCGAGAATCGACCCCGAGACCGAGACCAAAACGAGAGTCGAGAGTCGAGACCGAGAGTCGAGACCGAGAGAATAAGAGGGATATCACTTGATGTCCTCCTAATCCCTAAAAATCCATTTATATCCCTCATAATTCCAAAATCTCTTGAATCCCCAAGTCCACAATAACTTTATCTCTAAATCTCTCAATATCCACCTTAATCCACTAATGATATTCACATTAATCGCTTAAAATTATCCATCGATATCCCTCCAAATCCAACGAACAAGTCCCTTGATGCTTACTTTAATCCTTTCGAATCCCCAGATATCCCTCTCATATTTTTTAATCCTATTAAATTAAAAAATTTTTGCGAAAATTTTGAAGTGCCACAAAGCCAGATGTCTTTTGTTAGCGCCGCAGGCGAAAATTTTGAGAATTTTGGAAGGTCAATAGCCAGATCTCTTCCTTTTTTCACCGCCGGAGGCGAAAATTTTGAGAAATTTCAAAGACCTTAGGCAGATATTTTTTTGAAGTTTAGATGATCATGAACCCAGAACTTTTTAATTTTCTGCGCCGCAGGCGAAAATTTTGAAAAATTCATAACTAAATTAGCATTTTTAATGTCTTTTGAAGTTTAAAATATTAAAAAAAAATAAATTTTAAAATCAAAATCAAAGTTAAAAGACATTTATTTTTGAATATAAAAACTTTTTCAGACTCAATTCCACCCTTGGATTCGAACCCATCACTATAAGAGTAACTAGGTGAATGAAGCAAGTCGACTTCACCACTCAACCATCAACCAACAAAAGTAAAAGTGGGAAAAAATATAAATATTTCTTTCCCTTTTCTTTAAAAAATTAAATGTTAAAGTACGAGGGGTAAAGTAAAATTCAAAAAATTTCCGTCTTTAGGGGTGTAAATTTAGTCTCGTTTTCCGAGAGTAAAACACCGAGACCGAGACCGAGACCGAGAGCTCAAAAAACCCGAGAAATTTCTCGACTCGAGAGTCGAGACCGAGACTCTCGAACATCACTACTGATTGAAAAACAAGGCTCTTGCTAATTTGTTTTCATTTTCAGTTTGATTTCCTCAATGGAATTTATTTTAACTTCCTCTGTCTAACAGCCATTGACTTTGGACAACTTGTTCCTTCAAAGTATACATATTATTACATTTACATTTGGGGTATAAAACGAATACTTAAATTAAAGGTGGGAATTCTTGCCAATCACCTTCCTTTATGTATGCATTGGGCTTGCTATTACGGTGGGCAATAGCACATACATATATCAATATTTTTTATAGATTTTTAGACAATCGCGATAGAGATTGGTTCTGAGTATCTAAAGAAGCTCCATCACTTTGGAAAACGTATGAAAAATGTAGCACAGACTAGGATTTGGTTTGGCGGCAAAACGTGAGTTAACTAGTTTATTTGCGGTAAAGACAGAAGTTGTGAATGATGTTTTATTTCAGACTGAAGGTGAGAGATTTATTGCATGCTGTTGGCAAAAAATGTGGTATTGACCCTTCAGGTATGTTTACTCATAATTATAAACTATTATAACTTTACATAGGTTTCATATTACAAGTATACTTTTTATGTGATTTTACTTTTTTCCAGAAATTGACAAGCTGGATCTTGAAAATGTTATTGAGAGAGCAGTGGCAATTAATGTATTTTCGTAGTATGTATAAGGAATATACATTTTTTCGATTTTAGGAGGGACGTGAACCTCCATTGGATACAAATGAAGAACCGCCACCACCAAAAGAGCCGCAACCACCAGCTACTGAGGAAGTACCTCTGCTTGAAAATAATAGAAATGAGGACCGGCGATCACGTACCCCACCTTTTAAGAGGGCAGCCGAACGTATTGTGAGCCTCCCCATTGTTGAACAGACAAAGCCGATTGAGAATGTCGATGAGAGCTTAGAAAACAGCAACAGAAATTTGGTTTGTGCATTCAAAAAGAATTGAACACTATAAGCTAATTTCCGGTTTCCTCCAATTTAGCGATTGGATCTCTGCGAATTTGTTGCAATAGATATGGATTTGCCTGATGGACCTATAGAGGAGGCACTTACTTGGATGGAACCAGTAAGTATTCTTGATCTCTGAAAATAAACATCTAATAAAATCTAATAAACCTGTTCTTTTTTCCTAATAAAAACCTTTAAGGTTAATTTTTAAAAATTTTGTAAATTTTCTAATTAATATTTTTTCAGCCGCTAAAATTAGTGATGCATTCGGAACACGAACTTGTGGGTATTTTTTTATTATTATCATCATCAAAACCCAAAGTTAAAATTTAATTACATAAAAATCCTCTAAAATATTTTTTCGGTTGCTTTCTAGGTGCAAATAGATCCAGCCATTGCTTCACCTAAAGATTTGGGCGCTTATGGGCCACCGCACGTAATAGTGGATGAAGATGAACGGATTCTGGATTTAGAACCGAGAAAATTTAAAGAAAAAAAGGAAAAGTATGGAAGGGATGCCAAAAGGCTTTACGAAACCTATCAAGAAGAATGGGAGAGATTAGTTAGTTAAAAAGAAAATAACATGCTTTTTTTGTTTTAGGAACGACTTTCTGATCGACGTCTAGGCCCCCGCCGTAAATCAGTTAGTTAAACAGTATATTAAAATTCCAGTTGTCTAGGTTCTAGCATTGAATGCATTGGGATCTGGAACCGGGGGTAGAAGAGAATCATCACTGGAAGGTAGCACTTCAACAGCAAGAGAAAGTCCAGCTGCTGTCAGACATGCTCAGCAAACTAGTCCGCCATCAGCAACACGAATAACCAAAGAGTCAACAACTAGTCCATCAGAATTAAGAAAACAAACAGTACCTAAACAGGAAGTGAAAATAACAACATCGCCCACGAATCCTAGGATAAAATCACCTACTATGTTAAGGGCAGGCACGACACCAAAGGTGATACCTTAGTCCGGCTTTATACACTACGATTCTTAGGTTTTACGCCCACCTGTAAAGGAAAATATGGAGAGACGTTCATCATCTCCAAGAAAGCTGGATTTGACAAGATTTTCAAAATTTGGTGAAATGGTGACAAAACCTGATGTTCCCGGCCTCGAGGAGCGGATTTTAGAACGTCGTAAAAGTCGAATGTCTAATGATATTACATTCCCACCCGAAACGCCAAGAAAAAGTCTGACCGGAAGTGATACATCTCAGGTACACCATACTGCAGCAAACGCAAATTTTACAGAAACAACAAAGCCATAAAGAGATCGTAATTATTTTTTAATTCCTATTGATGACTTGTTTTAGAGTTCGTATTTGATAAAAGTAAAACACTAATAATTTGTATAAATACTATGTGATCAAGATTAATGCCTTTATTTACTATGCAATCAAATTTAATGCCTTTAGTTTCTTCGGAGAAATTCTTCAGAGAAAGGAATTTTTTTATTAAAAAACAAATTTGCTAAAAATGCGCACGCGAGCCTCATTTCCTTATGTTGCCTTGTCATTATTTCTTGTTCTTAAAAATTTTGTTTTAGCTTGATTTAGAAAAAGGTAGCAACTGAACTGGATTTGGAGCAATGTGGTTATTAGGTGGAAATGAAATTTTGAAATGAAAAAGATTTTTTAGCTTTTTAGATTTTTGAGCTTTTTAGATTTTTGATGTATTTAGGATAAACCCATTCCTATGCTTTACGTTTCATGCCACTTTTTTCCTTAAATTTAAATTTTGGCAGACTTTTTCGAAAAACGACAATTTATCCCATTCTAGAAAGACTACGGAGAGAGAAAAAGAGTAAATATCTATTTTCTTCTTGGGGTCATTTAAGATGATTTAAACAAGGAAGCCTTTTTATTTCTCCTCCTCCTCTTTCATTACTTATTTATGCTTCGCCTTTAATTTATCCTTCCGTGATTTTTAATTTCTTTATATATTTTTTCAGAGTTTTTTTAAACAAAAAATGTCAACAACGACAAAGTTTATTCTGATCTCTTCAATTCTTTTATTTTTTTCAATATCTCATGGCCTTGGACGTGATGAGGCGTCAAAAACAACTCTTCCAAACCTAAGGATAAAGACAAAAAATATGGAACGATTATTGGAATTGACTTAAGGACAACTTATTCTTGTGTTGGTGTTTATAAAAATGGACGTGTCGAAATCATTGCAAACGATCAAGGTTTAAATAAAAGTTGGGAAATAGAAAAGGACCCCGCCGGTTCCCTCAACATCTCCCAAAGGGTTGGGAATAGTTAAAAATGACTGGCATAAAGAGTAGAACGGGGGCCACCTTGAATGTCAAAGGCCGGAGATAAAATGGCCCGTGGAAGTCCCTCCACCTCTCTCTATTGGTCAAGTTATCCAGAAGGTCAAATTCAAACATTTGGGGCGGATAAAGATGCCTGAAGATCAGGAATACGTTTGCCTGCTCCATTTTGCCTCCATTTGCCTGCTCCATTTTTTGGGATCAAATGTCAGTTGCCCAAGTGAGATTTGAACTCCCGGGTTTGCCCCTCTGGCTTGCTCTTGCATAATTAGTAAGAGGGGAAACATTTTAGGTTGGGAGGTGAAATAAGTTTCGTTCATCATTTATATTCATCTTTACATAGGTAACCGTATTACTCCTTCCTACGTGGCGTTTACTGAAAATGGTGAAAGATTGATTGGGGACGCGGCAAAGAATCAGTTGACGTTGAACCCGGAAAACACCATCTTCGATGCAAAACGCTTAATTGGAAGGGAGTTTACCGACAAAACTGTTCAGGATGACATGAAGTTGTGGCCATTCGGGGTATATTTTTTTGATTAAAATTAATTTGGGGGTTTTGCGGATGATTTTTGCGGACAAATTTTGGGTTGGAATTTTTGTCCGCAAGTTTCAAATTTTGTCCGCAAAATATTTTTTTGGGACCAAATGTCATCTCATTCTCCCAACATTTTCAGGTTGCTGATAAAGCTAACAAGCCACACATCAAGGCTAACGTCAACGGAGAAATCAAACAATTTGCTCCAGAAGAGATTTCAGCAATGGTTCTTGGAAAAATGAAGGAAATTGCCGAAGCCTATTTGGGTCATGAAGTTACGCATGCTGTGGTTACGGTTAGTCTAACTTTTTCTTTAACTTTAAAATAATATTTTTAAGGTCCCCGCCTACTTTAACGATGCTCAACGTCAAGCTACCAAAGATGCTGGAACTATCTCTGGACTTAATGTTGTACGTATTATTAATGAACCGACAGCTGCGGCAATCGCTTATGGATTGGACAAGAAAGAAGGTTTTTGATTGTTTTTTTGTTATGTGTGGGGGATATTTGGGCAGACTTGTGAAAACTTTCTTTTGGGTTTTTGTGAATTTTGTTTATTAGGGCCAGAGCTCTTGACTGGTATGAGTATTTAAGTCCCGACTCCAAGTTATTCTGTTGATGTAGGGTTCCGGTCTCCGAATTGTATGGCACTAACTCGGCAATAGTTTGAGGTTGTTAGGACCGAACTCCTACTCGATACAGTTTATATGGTCATTTGAAAGAGCTCAACGAGCTCTGATGTGAATTAAACAAAGGAATTTACTTGCTGCCTCAACGTTAAGCCGAGATTTTCAGTCCTCTGAAAATAAACCATCCCAAATTGTGTCAAAGTTTTCCTTCTGTTATTTTTCGCCCACAAAGATACCTTTCTTAAACTTCATTATTTCTTAGGGGAACGCAACATTCTTGTCTTTGACCTTGGCGGAGGCACCTTCGACGTCTCTTTGTTGACTATCGATAATGGAGTTTTTGAAGTATTGGCAACAAATGGAGACACTCACTTGGGAGGTGAAGATTTTGATCAGAGGACGATGGAATACTTTATTAAATTGATTAAAAAGAAGACTGGAAAGGATTTGAGGAAGGATAACCGAGCTGTTCAAAAACTTCGTCGTGAGGTTTGTTTTTTGACTTTTTTTGGAGGGTTTTTGAGGTTTAAAAATTTCTAACGGTTTTTAAATAGGTTGGAAAATTTTTAGAATTGTTATTTTTTGTTTAAAATGACTAAAAATTAGTGTTTCCACTGGTGGGGTTCGAACCTTGCACCCCTTTTTAGGCAATATTTTTAATTATCCCACTTAACCAAAAGGTACATTTTTGGTGTTTTGTTCTTTTTTCCCTTTATTCTCCGTTATGTTAAAAATTATTTTAAATAATTTATGGACTATGATTTATGAAAGTTTTTTTCATTTAAAGGTCGAAAAGGCAAAGAGAGCCCTCTCAGTCCAGCACCAAGTCAAAATGGAAGTTGAATCCTTAATTGATGGAATTGATTTTGCTGAAACTTTAACTCGTGCCAAATTTGAAGAATTAAATATGGATTTGTTTAGAGGAACGCTTAAACCTGTACAGAAAGTTTTGGAAGATGCAGGTTTTTTGAGGGGAATTTTTGGAAATTTTTTAAAATTTTTTCTGTTTAAGATATGAAGAAGGATGATATTCATGAAATCGTTTTGGTTGGTGGATCAACAAGAATTCCAAAAATTCAACAGTTGTTGAAAGATTTCTTTAATGGAAAAGAACCTTCTCGTGGCATTAATCCAGGTTTAAAATTTGTTTTTGCTGGGGAAAGAAAGTTGGTCTTGTATATCCTCAACCCGAAGGCGCTGGGCATAAGGTTGAAAACCAGATCCCAACTAATCTGGTTTTGAAATACAGTCATACCTGGTCGTGGTATGCCCCTAAATAATACGTTTTTAAAATTAGGTTTGCCATTGGGTTTGTAGAGGGAGAGGACATCATTTAAGAAAAGAGATTTTGTAAGTCCTAAGTACCAGGGATGGGTCGGGTTGAGAAAAAATCAAGAATCGGAAACGTCCATTGCTCCATCCTGTAAGGGTTTAACCTGACTTTTTAAAATAATTTTTTTTAAAGATGAGGCTGTTGCTTGTGGTGCTGCTGTCCAAGCTGGAGTAATCTCTGGAGAAGAAGACACCGAAATTGTTTTGTTGGACGTTAACCCTTTAACTCTCGGTATTGAAACTGTTGGTGGTGTAATGACAAAATTGATCAACCGAAACACTGTTATCCCAACTAAAAAAGCACAAGTTTTCTCTACTGCGGCAGATAATCAACCAACTGTTACAATTCAGGTTTTTTGGAGTTTTTGAGGAATTTTGGAAAAAATTTTTTTTTCTTTTAAAGGTCTATGAAGGAGAACGTCCAATGACTAAAGACAACCACATGCTTGGAAAATTCGACTTGACAGAAATTCCACCAGCACCTCGTGGAGTGCCACAAATTGAGGTTTTTTAGAAGTTTTTGAATTTTTAAAAAAATTTTTTAAATTAAAGGTAACCTTTGAAATCGACGTCAACGGAATCCTTCATGTAACAGCTGAAGATAAGGGAACTGGAAATAAAAATAAAATTACCATCACAAATGATCACAACCGTTTGTCTCCTGAAGATATTGAAAGAATGGTTAATGATGCGGAGAAGTTTGCTGAGGAAGATAAACGTGTTAAAGAAACTGTTACATTACGTAATGAATTGGAATCACATGCCTATCAACTCAAGAACCAGGTTTGTTAATGAAATTTTTTTTGGGGGTTTGAAGAGATTTTCTTTGGGGGGGGGGGGGGGGTTCGCTTGCGTGTCTCGGGAATGATTTTTCTTGTTTGAGGGATTGGATGTTTTGTTTGGGGATAGGATGGACTGTTTTGGTGGGGGATGGGGGCAGAGATGAGCTGTGGCATTAATTGAATGTCTTGCGGTGGTTTGGGAGCAATGATGATGGTCGGTTTAGTGGTGGGTTTGCCTGTATTTGGGTAGGCTGGGGAGTGTATTAGGTGTTTTGTTGGGGGCATTAACTTTGGGTATGGTTTTGGCCTCAAAAATTTCTCTCTAATTTTGCATTTTATTTTTAAAGGCAATGCAGATGTGTGCTTCAACATCAAACACTCCTAGTACGTGTGGCTGAAGTTCTGAAACATCGACTGCTACAACAAGACAAGTGTTATTGTGGGAAGTGTTCAAAATGAGCATCGGTTGCAACAAACTGATGATGGATAACAAAGATGAGAGAAGCTAAAAAATGTGGCAAAGATGCTTCCGCCACATTTTAAGGTCTAAAAGATATTTGAATTAAATATGTTTTTATTATTTTTTAGTGCTTTTCCGTTTGCGTCGATTTTTTTGTTTTATTTTTTCAAGTACAAAATTTTATCAAAACAGCAGGATTCTTAGATCGAAAAACGGAAAAGCACATTTAAGCCACTTGTAAAAAAAGGCTTTTTGCGGATTCGTTTAGAAGAAAGCAAAAAGGCCTTTTCTTTACAAGTGGTATTTTTTTATCACATTATTTTTTTGTTGGTTAAAAATGGGTTTGGTGTCCTCGGCCCCCCGACCTTGGGTTCACCCAACCCCCAACTTTTCCAAGCTCAAAGAGCTTCAGACACTCCTAAACTCTAAAAGCGTCCAGCTTGACGACCTGCTTTTAATTTTGTAAAAATTAGAACTTTTTCTGCAATTAAACTCCCTAATGAAGACCAGCAGATAGTTTTGAATTGTCAAAAACTAAATAGGTTCAGGCTTTCATACCTCCGAGTTATATCCAAAGGCACGGGTTCTTATTCAATAGGTGTAGACAGTAGGGCACTTAGACCTTAGATTAGACCTAGAACACCCCCCCCCCCAAACTTCCGGCACTTCAACTTCAACTGCTCCTGCCAGCCGTCTACAACTTCAACTGCTCCTGTCAGCCGTCTACAACTTCAACTGTGCCTGCCACTCGTCTACAACTTCTCCTGGACCGACTCTACGGGTTCCCTCGGCCTCGACTCGGTACTCTACTGCTCCCCCGGGTCCAACATGGTGCTCTAATGTCCATACCTATTTTATAAGACCCACCTTTCTTCCCCATATCCAAGTTTGACCCAAATGTATCCCCCAAAACGCCCCGACAAAACGTCACTTCCCAAAACATCCCCGGACAAAACGTCACTTCCCAAAACATCCCCGGACAAAACGTCACTTCCCAAAACGCCCCGGACAAAACGTCATTCCCCAAAACGCCCCAGACAAAACATCACTCCCCAAAACGCCCCAGACAAAACATCACTCCCCAAAACGCCCCAGACAAAACATCACTCCCCAAAACGCCCCGGACAAAACGTCACTCCCCAAAACGCCCCGGACAAAACGTCACTCCCCAAAACGCCCTAGACAAAACGTCACTCCCAAAAATGGCCCCGACAAAACGTCACTCCCAAAATGCCCCACACTAAAAATAACCCGCACTGAAAATCCCGCACTGAACTGACCGACCCGCCTTCTTAAAAAATATTCTCTCCATAGGTTCAGGCTTTCATACCTCCGAGTTATATCCAAAGGCACGGGTTCTTATTCAATAGGTGTAGACAGTAGGGCACTAGGCATAGGCTTCCTTAGACGTTGACCTAGACTTTGACCTTTGAATTACCCCCCCCCCTTCCAGGCCCAAATGTCCAATGATCAATTGTCCCAATGATCAATTGTCAAGTGATCAATTGTCCCAGTGACCAAATGTCCAATGTTCAATCTTCGCAATGATCAATTGTCCAGTGATCAATTGTCCCAATGATCAATTGTCCCAGTGACCAAATGTCCCAGTGACCAAATGTCCAGTGATCAATTGTCCCAGTGACCAAATGTCCAGTGATCAATTGTCCCAATGATCAAATGTCCAGCGATCAATTGTCCCTGGACCAAATGTCCAGTGATCAATTGTTCCTGACTGTCCCACACTAAAAATCCCGCACTGAAAATCTGGCATTAAAAATGACCGACCCCCCTTTTTCAAAAATGCTCTCCATAGGATCAGGCTTTCATACCTTCCAGTTATATCCAAAGGCACGGGTTCTTATTCAATAGGTGCAGACAGTAGGGCACTTAGACCTTAGATTAGACCTAGAACACCCCCCCCCCCAAACTTCCGGCACTTCAACTTCAACTGCTCCTGCCAGCCGTCTACAACTTCAACTGCTCCTGTCAGCCGTCTACAACTTCAACTGTGCCTGCCACTCGTCTACGACTTCTCCTGGACCGACTCTACGGGTTCCCTCGGCCTCGACTCGGTACTCTACTGCTCCCCCGGGTCCAACATGGTGCTCTAATGTCCATACCTATTTTATAAGACCCACCTTTCTTCCCCATATCCAAGTTTGACCCAAATGTATCCCCCAAAACGCCCCGACAAAACGTCACTTCCCAAAACATCCCCGGACAAAACGTCACTTCCCAAAACATCCCCGGACAAAACGTCACTTCCCAAAACGCCCCGGACAAAACGTCATTCCCCAAAACGCCCCAGACAAAACATCACTCCCCAAAACGCCCCAGACAAAACATCACTCCCCAAAACGCCCCAGACAAAACATCACTCCCCAAAACGCCCCGGACAAAACGTCACTCCCCAAAACGCCCCGGACAAAACGTCACTCCCCAAAACGCCCTAGACAAAACGTCACTCCCAAAAATGGCCCCGACAAAACGTCACTCCCAAAATGCCCCACACTAAAAATAACCCGCACTGAAAATCCCGCACTGAACTGACCGACCCGCCTTCTTAAAAAATATTCTCTCCATAGGTTCAGGCTTTCATACCTCCGAGTTATATCCAAAGGCACGGGTTCTTATTCAATAGGTGTAGACAGTAGGGCACTAGGCATAGGCTTCCTTAGACGTTGACCTAGACTTTGACCTTTGAATTACCCCCCCCCTTCCAGGCCCAAATGTCCAATGATCAATTGTCCCAATGATCAATTGTCAAGTGATCAATTGTCCCAGTGACCAAATGTCCAATGTTCAATCTTCGCAATGATCAATTGTCCAGTGATCAATTGTCCCAATGATCAATTGTCCCAGTGACCAAATGTCCCAGTGACCAAATGTCCAGTGATCAATTGTCCCAGTGACCAAATGTCCAGTGATCAATTGTCCCAATGATCAAATGTCCAGCGATCAATTGTCCCTGGACCAAATGTCCAGTGATCAATTGTTCCTGACTGTCCCACACTAAAAATCCCGCACTGAAAATCTGGCATTAAAAATGACCGACCCCCCTTTTTCAAAAATGCTCTCCATAGGATCAGGCTTTCATACCTTCCAGTTATATCCAAAGGCACGGGTTCTT